CTTGTGTTGTATTCGTTTCAATCAAGTTTTTTTGCAAATATTCCAAATATTTTTCAATGTTTTTTGAGTTTCACTTAATTTGTGCTGCCCAGTAAAAATTTCCCACTATTTATGCATTTGCAATGTAATCCACTCACCTGAATAGGTAACTTCACATATGGTATAAGAGCCCAATCCTTTTAAAGACAGCTTCCCCTCTGGTCTCCAGCACAGACAAACAAATTGAGTCTGCAACACACCCCTTTATTACAAGGGGACAAGGGGAGTCATGACTTGTGCTCCTATACATTCCTTGTTTAACCCCCCCAAAACAAGCCCTCAGTTACAATATTTATTGTAGACATTACCTTAAATTCCAGAGTGCAAAAGGCATCTTCAGCATACTTCAGTTTCAGACCAGATCCAAAGTCAGTTGTGAAATCCAGGTGAGGTCCCATGACCACTCGACCCTCCAAGGAATAAGTTTGTTTGATGTTGTACTGCTGGGGAAAGAAAGACTAAATTAGAGATGTTTGTGAATAATTTTATTTGTTTGTAGAAACAAAGTTGACATTCCATGCTCTGCCTATTAAAAACCAAGCAAACAAACACACATGCCCAGTAAAATTGCTAATAAAAATAAAAACTATAGTTTAAAAAAATCTTTGTCTAATATTTACTACGACTAGAGGTAACGTACTGGTGGAACTTCTGGAAGAAGAAAAAGAGTTTGTACAAGAAAATGCTTACAACAAATCTGTGAAAAACCTGACATTAAAAAAACTAATAAAAATGAAAAATGAGGAAGGCATCAACATTACCTTTAATAATCAAGCGAGGGTTGATTGGTAGCATCAGTGTTTCAACATCAATGGCTGTGGCTGCAAAAAAATATGAATATAATAAGAGTAGAATAAGACTCAACCTAACACGCGCACACACACACACACACACACACACACACACACACACACATACTCTCTCTCTCTCTCTCTCTCTATATATATATATAATATGTTTAGATTGTGATAATGAATTTAGGTTATATTTGTGTGCTCAGAATTTACACTCACCTCACACTTCAGCTATTATCAGGTACACCTGAACACCAAAAAAATAAAATCTACAGTTAGTGACACTGTACAATTAACTTACTTCTCATTAGTAAATGTTAGCACTGCATTAACACCAGTGAGAAATATACAATATGTACTGTGTTAGTGTTAGTTTAAAAGAATACAACTGAATTGTATTATAAGCCTCATTTAATAAAACAGTTAAGACTTGTTTCATAATGAGTTTAGTTTATTTAACTAACGTTAACGTTACAGTGAACAAAATTAACGTACATGATGGTGACTAACTGTTAACCGTAACGTTAACTTAAGTGAAGGCCAGAGCTTAATGTTACCTTAACGTTAACGTTATAGTCATTTCACCTTTACTTCAGACTTGTACTGAAACAGAAAATGCAGTTAACAAGAAGTTAATTAAAGAAAATTCCCCTTTTTTAGGAACTAACGTTAACGTTATGCTAATACCTCAGAAAACACTACAAGCACCATCTGGCGTCGTTAATTTCTTGTTTTAAAAAAAGGCGCGCTTAAACCCTGTACGTGCGAGTACAACTAAAGTACTCGGTAAATTCCTGTTAAATGACATGCACTATACAGAAATACACATACAACAATCATTTAACGGACAAAAGTCACATTTAAACACTTACCGAGGATGAATCCGTAGGGTGAAGAGACGACGCAGGCGTCTGTGGTGATGGCGCTTGTTTGCGGTCGAGTCGAGTCAGTTCTGTTCAATGAATCGGCTCTTTTAAGTGAACAGTAAAGAGTCGAATTCGACTGAAACCGATTACTTTTTGTATAATATTGTAAGACGCAGACCTATAATTCATTAATATTTCATCATATTGCTTGGTTCGTGTACTGCTTGTACACGAATTGCATGTTAATGACTATGAGCTTATGAGCACGTCTGATAAAATATCTGAATCTGATTCAATGTCACACGAGTCCTGAACCGAAGCAGTGCAAAAGTAATATATTGATTGAAATATAAAGTTAATTATTTTCTTTGCCATTCAAAATATTACATATCTCTGACTTTAACAATAAGAATAAAGTTCGTTTGGAGTGTATTGAGAATTATTATTTTTTCGTCCCAGGATTCATTTCGCACCAAGCTGCATCAAGCTGTAATGGTGGATGAGAAGGCACATAATATTATAAATATTGCTTTTAATATGTAATGAAATAAACTTTTAACATGTTTTCATGCGAGAATGTAATTCTTTAAAACTGAAATCTGTGGATTGTTAGTAAAGATTGTGTGTAATTTTAAGTGTGTTTTGCCGGTAGCGGAGATCTATGACCTCCAGGCAATAACGGCGCTCATTACTCATGTATCCACCGAGAGGCGCCTGTCTTCAGGCTAGACATTGGGACAATTGCCCCGTCTTCAATGGCTCTATATGCGTCCGAAAATGAAGTTTTAACTGTTTTTCATGCTAGAATGTAGTTGTTTAAAACTCTAATCTGTGGTTTATTTATATAGATTAAAAAATTATATATATATATATATATATATATAATTCTGAGATTAGTGACCTCCAGACGATGGCATGTGCCTAATACTCATGAAACAGTCTAAAGCAGACATTTACCCTGACAATAAAATAATTGTTGGCTGTTTAACAGTCTTTGGTTTCATTAATTAATTACTTTTTATTCCAGTTTATTATGTTTTGGCTAAGCACACAGTTATGTTCATTAAATATTCTTTCCTATTCTATGTTAACTGTATAAAATTAAATAAAGGTGCAGTACAACCAAAAAGATGTTGGTAACCAAATCGTTTTGGGGGCTATAACATTCTGTTATTATTTGTTAAAAGTTAATTTGTATTAATTTCTACGTTGAATTAAAAAAAGGTTTGAATTTCTATAACTAATGTGCAAAAGATATAGCCCTTTTCACAGTAATTTGCTGTAATCATGCTACCTGCAGTAATTTCACAATAAAATTATGAATACAACATATTACTGTGAATTTTTCAGTTAAATACTGTGAAGGGATACTAATGTAATTTACTGTGAAAAATTACAGTAACTTGTTGTGAAAACCTGGAAATTTTTTACAGTGTAGTTTAACACCTAGCTCATCTTGTATGGAGTTATATTTGTGACACAAAACTGCGCAAAAGTTCATGACTTGTCAACAATTTAAATTATATCACATTCAATAATAATATCAGCAAGATGTCATACACTCAAAAACATGATTCAGTCTTGGACGGTGGTATCACGATTACACCACATGATCATCATTGACAACACTGGATGATGTTAACCAGCTTAGAATATTTGTGCTCATTTAACATGAATTATACTTTAATTCAAGTTAAACGGAAATGTTGAAATCATGTTTAACCAACATCCATACTGAATGTCTTTGTGGATGAAGATATTTCCAAGCCGCAGTATCACTGTTTATTTGTGTTACTTAAGGAATAACAGCATGCTGCTTGCAAACATGGTCTGTTAATAATTCAGGAAACCCATGCATAAATCATGACAACAGGCTGGTCTCTGGTGAAAACGCTGGAAAAACAGGAGGTCAGATAATGATTTGAAGTGTTTTAATGGTACAAATTGCATGAAAGGTATTTTTGAGGGAAAACTCAAAGTAGTTCATTCGAAATTACATTTTAATTATTTAATTGTATTATTTTACATAATATGGGTGGCATAGTGGCTCAGTGGTTAGGAATGTCGCCTCACAGCAATAAGGTTGCTGGTTCAAGTCCCCACTGGGCCAGTTGGCATTTCTGTTTGGAGTTTGCATGTTCTCCCCATGTTGGCATGGGTTTCCTCCGGGTGCTCCGTCTTCCTTCACTGTCCAAAGACATGCACTAGTGTGTGTGTGTGTGTGTGAGAGTGTATAGGTGTTTCCCAGTACTGGGTTGCAGCTGGAAGGGCATCTGCTGCGTAAAACATATGCTGGAATAGTTGTCGGTTCATTCCACTGTGGTGACGCCTAATAATCAGGGACTGTTTTTTTTAGAAAATTGGATTTGGTAAACATAAATGTTTTCATTTGTGTTTGAAATTTAAAGTGTCAACCGGGCAGGTGAGGATAAATACATCAGATAAAACTATATGTGCGGGCGGGTGGCAGGTGGATGATTAGTATGAAACCGTGGATTTGGGTGTCATTTCAACTGATCCGCGCACGTTGGACAAATCACATCAAGCACAAAATAATGACGAAGAATGCCAAGCCATTTCCTTATTGAGGCAATAGTCTTTGGAAAAGTGTGGAAATCAACACAACTTATTTTTCCTACAGTCCACATGAAATGCCTTAAGCACAGCAGAAGTGTTGTGATGGCATTGTCAATGTTCATTCCTTTACATTACTTTTTGAGTCGGGACGTAGGCCCAAGAAGTATCCTTTTGATGCATGCCTGGTGTTCAAATTCCGAATACACTGTAAAAAAAAAATGCTTGGTTCCACACAGTCGATTTGTGTTGGGATGACATGAAGGAATTAAGTTGATGTGTTAGTTTTTTACAAATGGAAGTGGATTGAACTTAAAACAATTAAGTTGTCCTCCCAAAAACGGTGGCACGGGGCTTTAAGTGTATAGGTGTTTCCCAGTACAGGGTTGCAGTTGGAAGGGCATCTGCTGTGTAAAACATATGCTGGATAAGTTGCCGATTCATTCCACTGTGGCGACCCTGATAAATAAAGGACTTTGTCAAGGAAATTAATGAATGAATAAATGTTCCCGCCAAAATACTCATGAATTGTGTTGTTCTGCTGTGCTTAAGTCATGAACTTTTGTTTCAGTTTATTTTAAAAAAGTAGTTTGAGTCTATTTGTTGAGTCTACTGCTAATTTGCCAGCTTTGGTAGCTCTAGTTGTATGGCAGTGTGTGTTAATGTGATGGTAATGTAAAAGCATAAGCTGAATAATACTTTATGATATTCGTATGTCTCTCTGCAGGCCTCGGCCATGGGTGGAGTCAAGAGTAAACCCAAAGAGCTGGGCCAGCGCTCGCGGAGTCTGGACGACGGCACCGGAGGACACCACCACCACACCCCCAACCCCACCTCCTTCACCCCTAACCGCAGTCCACCGGTGGAGGGGTCCCGGCGCGGCACACAGCCCAACATCATAAACGCGGAGCAGGCGCTCTTTGGGGGAGTGAACTCCACCACCAACAGCATCACATCTCCTAATCGAATCGGCATATTAGGTAAAGCAGACTACAATCATCATCGATCTAGAGTTGAAGTCAGAATTATTAGCCCTCCTGAATTATTAGCCCCCCTGAATTATTAGCCCCCCTGTTTATTTCTGTTTGACGGAGAGAAGATTTTTTTCAACACATTTCTAATCATAATAGTTTTAATAACTCATTTCTAATAATGCATTTATTTTATCTTTGCCATGATGACAGTAAATAATATTTGACTAGATATTTTTCAAAATACTAGTATTCAGCTTAAAGTGACATTTAAAGGTTAAATTAGAGTAATTAGGCAAGTCGTTGTATAAGGATGGTTTGTTCTGTAGAATTCTGTAGAACTGATTTTGCTTAACCTTTAATGCACAAGCTATAAAATAGATATAGAAAAAATAAGCTTAGACGGGTCACTTTAGACCCATGTAGTGCATCGAAGGGTTAAGGAGGCTGATAATATTCACCTTAAAATGGTTTTAAAAATAAATAAAAACTGCTTTTATTCTAGCCGAAATAAAACAAATAAGACTTTCTCCAGAAGAAACAATATTATTAGATATATTGTGACAATTCCCTTGCTCTGTTAAACATCCTTTGGGAAATATTTGAAAAAGAAAATTCACAAGAGGGTGAATAATTTTGACTTCACTGTACTGCTAGAGTAAGGAGGGGGGAAGGGTTTTTTTAATTGAAAGAGATGGTTCTAGAGGTGGTTTGTCAAGCCCACTCACCTGTGTGAGGTACACTTCATAAATGCAAGTTTTGTTGATAGATATGGAGTGATTGTAAGAAAGTGTCTACTCGTGCAAAACTGTTTTATGTGTCGGTCCAGCCTGATCTCACAAGAAAACGTAAGTATTTTACGTTTTGCCTGTTTAGTGGCTAATTTGCATGAGTTCAGCCGTACAAAATTGTACAATTTTAAAAAGGAGGGGTGGCACCAGGCCCGGATTAAGAACTCAGGGGCCCCTGGGCACATTATCTTGTAAGGCCCCCTACCTGGCCGCACCCCTATAGTTGAATTTAAAAAATAAGAATAATATAATAATTTTTAAATAAAATGAATCTATAATTTGTTGCCCACATATTAAAATAAATGATATACAGTACATATGTATTTATAGTCTGCAAAGATTTAAATTATTTTTCAAAGCATTAAATAAAAATACTAATAAAACTATATATATCCTCCAACGCCAAGCCATTACTGCATTAACCAAATTTCCCTACTGAGATTCTGTGGAAGTGAATTCATGGCGATAACTGCGTTTGTGTCTTGTGTTTTTCCATAGGCGGCGTGACCACATTTGTGGCTCTGTATGACTACGAGTCACGAACCGCCTCCGATTTGTCATTCAGGAAAGGAGAACGACTCCAGATTGTCAATAACACGTAAGGGGGAATCACACCAACACAAAACAAAAATAACACGGCTCTGGAGACACACACACAGACACATATGTATAAAAATAACAGGGCTCCGGAGGGCAACAGACACACCTCGTGATGCAGACACACACACATACCCGTCTGTCTGCCGATCCCCCTCCTCTTCCTCTCCAGTAGCCATAGGAACTGGATCCCTATGAAGGCGCTGCATTTGTGCAAGATGACGGCTTTTTGTTCTCCTGATTCCTTTTTTGGTCTTTTTCCTGTGCATTGGTTTAAAAAAAAAAAGCTCAGCTGTGTTTCTTTACCTCCACTTCCCCTCGCAGACCAAAGGGAGCTTTTTCCTTCCTTTCTACACCTGCGGTTCACTTTCTTATTCCAGTGCACTAGGAATATAAAAACACTCTCGGAAACATCCTCTGGTTTCTGCACAAAGCGGACCCCGAGGGTTGGCATTTTGTGTGTGGGTGGCTGTTTGTTTGTGTACTTGTTTTTATATCCCGGTGGGGACTTTAATGTGAATGCACACAGACTCATGGGGACTTGTGGCACCGTGGGGACCTAAATTGTGGGACACACAGGTAAACAAGTTATAAATCATATAGAATAGGGTATTTAGAAAAAAAGGTAAAATGCAGATTGTTTTCTGTGAGGCTTGGGTTTAGGGTAAAAAAATATTCATTGGATTTAGTAAATATTTTTAAAGGTAAGTGGTTGCACACAATATGGGCTGAATTTAAAAAAACACGCTAAATGTAGTAATGTTTGTTTAAATTCAGCCCATATAAATTGTTTGCAACCACCTACCTTAAAAAATATTTAGTAAATCCAATAGTTTTTTTCAGCGAGGGAGAGAATACAACATCACAGTAGAAAGATCATAATAGATATAAATAAACGGCCACTTTATTAGGTATACCTTACTAGTACCGGGTTGACCCTGTTTTGCCTTCAGATCTGCCTTAATCCTTCATGGCATAGATTCGACAAGGTACTGGAAATATTCCTCAGAGATTTTGGTTCATATTGACATGATAGCATCACGCAGTTGCTGCAGATTTGTCGGCTGCACATCCATGATGCGAATCTCCCGTTCCACCACATACCAAAGGTGCTCTATTGGATTGAGATCTGGTGACTGTGGAGGCCATTTGAAGATGATCCTAGTAGATCAGCAGTTTCTGACTTACTCAGACCAGCCCGTCTGGCATCAACAAACATGCCGCTTTCAGAGTCACTAAATTCACCTTTCTTCTCCATTCTGATGCTCGGTTTGAACTGCAGCAGATCGTCTTGACCATGTCTACATGCCTAAATGCATTGAGCTGCTACCATGTGATTGGCTGATTAGAAAGTTGCGTTAACGAGCAGTTGGACTGGTGTACCTAATAAAGTGGCCGGTGAGTGTAGATATATGAAAGTCCCCACGGAGATATAAGAACAAGTGTGTGTGTGTGTGTGTGTGTGTGTGTGTGTGTGTGTGTGTGTGTGTGTGTGTGTGTGTGAGGATACTGGATGCATTATAATGTATGGGTGAATCCTGTGAAAACAAATCAAGTTTGTGTCGAGGAAAAAATTTAAAGCTAAATCTAGTTATGCTGATAGGACTTGAAGCCTGTGTTAAATAACTTTAAACAGTTTTATATTGTGGTGACTGCCACACTATTATTATTTGTGTTTATTAAATGCATAGATTACCAGAATAACTACATTCAGTAACAACATATACAAGACAATAGACACATATAGAGGGATAAACCCGTACAAAAAAGTAATAATTGAGGAAACAAATAGAGAGAGAAAAAAATATATATGCAATGAGCACATATCATATACATGTATGGATGTGGTAACTGAAGTGGCAACACACCTGTAGGTATGTCAAATAATAGTAATAATAATAATATTAATGAAAATCGAACAAACAGCCTAGGACGAGTTCAACGCAATAGGTTTTGTGGAAATAGGGTTCATTTAGATTTGAAGCTTATTCTGTTGAAAAGATATAAACATAAATAAAAGATTGGGCTAATGGCGGTGATAGATAGTTTGAGTTAGAGAGTCCAAATTTGCTTTGTTCCAAGATAAGGCTACCTTCTATCAGCGTGCCAAAGTTTGCACAAATGTTATAACAATTATACTATTGAGTTTTTTTTTTCTTTTTTAAATATTTCCCAAATCATGTTTAACAGAAACAAGGAAATTTTCACAGTATGTCTGCTAATATTTTTTCTTCTGGAGAAAATCTTATTTGTTTTATTTCGGCTAGAATAAAAGCAGATTTTAATTTTTAAAATTCCATTTTAAGGTCAAATTTATTAGCCCCTTTAAGCAATATTTATTTCGATAGTCTACAGAACAAACCATCGTTATACAGTAACTTGCCTATTTACCCTAACTTGCCCAGTTAACCTAGTTAAGCCTTTAAATGTCACTTTAAGCTGTATAGAAGTGTCTTGAAAAATTTCTAGTAAAATATTATTTACTGTCATCATGACAAAGATAAAATAGGTTATTAGAAAAATAAGTTATTAGAAATGAGTTATTAAAACTATTGTGTTTAGAAATGTGTTGAAGAAAAATCTGCTCTCTGTTAAACAGAATTTGGGGGGAAAATAAACAGGGGCGCTAATAATTCTGACTTCATCTGAATACACAAATATATGTATATGTACTGTATATATATATATATATACAGTATATTTATTCAATCATTTATTAATTTTCTTGTCAGCTTAGTCCCTTTATTAAATTGGGGTTGCCACAGCGGAATGAACCCCCAACTGATCCAGCACGTTTTTACGCAGCCAATGCCCTTACAGCAGCACCAAATCTTTGGGAAATATAAATAAATAATTATATATATATATATATATATATATATATATATATATATATATATATATATATATATATATATATATATATATATATATATATTGTTTTGATTATTAAATACACCAAAATGTAAAATTTGGTGCAAAATAGTTTTTTCTTACCAAGGCATTTATTCAAAAATAAAAAGTAATATTTGGAAGTAATACCGCAATTATTTTCAATTTAATTTTAAAACAGTAATGTGCTCTAGCATTTTAGTGTCACTCTGTGCTGATTAAAACCGTTTTCTTTAAAATAAACTGACACTGACATGTTCAGATATTTCATACTTTGTTTTTACATGAAAGAATGATTGCTGTGAGCTATTGTTGATTATTTGTGCAACATGAAATCACACATCCCGAAATCAATTAAAAATCGGAAGTTACCAAATTAGATTTGCTGTTAGAAGCAATTATGCTAAGTTTAAAGAGTGTGAGCTTTAAAAAGGAGACTTGTTTTCATGAGATTCACTTTTTAATTCATTAACCATTCTTGATTGCTGTCAATAATCATTTCCAGAAGCCGCTGATAAAAGAATAATCATCCATTAAATAAAATGACCAAGCTGCTTCGGCTTATCTCTGGGAGAGTCATGTGTCAGTGCACACAGAGATAATCAGATGCACATTACTGGAATTGTTTGTGCATATTTTTAGGTTTTCACACTGAAAAGCACAAGTTGTATAAATGCAGTGTTTTCAGTGCATCAATGATGCTCTTGACCTTCACTACAGTATTTAAAGGAACACTCCACAGTTTTGTTTGGAAACAGGCTAATTTTACAGCTCCACTAGAGTTAAATGGTTGAGATTTACCAGTTTTGAATCCATTCAACTGATCTGCACACTTTATCTTAGCTTAGCATAAATCATTGAATCGGATTAGACCATTAGCATCTCGCTCAAAAATGACCAAAGAGTTTTGATAACTTTGCTGTTCAAAGCTTAGTACTAAGTCTCACAGAAAATTAAAAGTTGCTTTTTTTATAGGCTGGTATGGCTAGGAACTATACTCAATTCTGGCGTAATAATCAGTTAACTTTGCTGCTGTACCATGGCTGCAGCACATGTGCAATGATATTATGCAGAACTGTTACATAATTAACTAGATAGGGACTATTTTCAGGTACTGCCTAATATCATTGCACCTGCTGCAGCCACAGTACGCCAGCAAGTTAATGAATTATTACGCCAGAATGAGTGTATTGTTCTCATTTCCTAGTATAGTACTTAGCAAAATAAAAGATAAAACTACACAAGAGTCCAGCTTTAAATAGGAAAATTATCAAAACCTTTTTTTTTTTTTTTTTTTTTGAGCGAGATGCTAATGGTCTAATCCGATTCAATGAGTTATGCTAAGCTAAGATAAAAGTGCTTTTGCCAGATCGGTTGAATGGATTACCAGAGCTGGTACCTATTTACCTATCTGGGCATTATATCATAATAGAAATGCAGAAGTGTCCAGCTTTAAATTGTAAAATTATCTCAAATCTTTTTTTAAATTCTTGAGCGAGATGCTAATGGCCTAATCCAAATCAATAAATTTTACTAAGCTAAAAGTGCTCCTGCCAGACCTGGAGATCTGCTGAATGGATTACCAGAGCCAGTACCTAACTACCTGACTGGGAACTATTTCACAATAGAAATACAGAAGTGTCCAGCTTTTAATAGTAAATTATTTTAAATCTTTTTTTTTTTTTATTCTTAAGCTTAATGCTAATGGTCTAATCTGATTCAATAATTATGCTAAGCTAAGCTAAAAGTGTTCTTGCCAGACTGGCTGAATAGAATACCAGAGCTGGGAACTATTTCACAATGGAAATGCAGAGGTGTCCAACTTGATAAAGTTATCTCAGATCGTTTTTAAAATTCTTCATTGAGATGCTAATGGTCTAATCCAATTCAATGAATTATGCTAAGCTAAGCTAAAAGTGCTCCTGCCAGACCGGTTGAATGGATTACCAAAGCTTGAATTACCTAGTTACCTGGCTGGGGACTATTTCACGATAGAAATGCAGAAGAGTCCAGCTTTAAATAGGAAAATTATCTCAAATCTTTTTTTTTTTATTCTTAAGTTTGATACTAATGGCCTAATCCGATTCAATGAATTATGCTTAGCTAAAAATGCTCCCGCCAGACCGGCTGAATGGATTACCAGAGCCGGTACCTAGTTACCTGGCTGGGGACTATTTCACGATAGAAATGTAGAAGTATCCAGCTTTAAATGGGTATATTATCTCATCTTTTATTATTATTATTATTCTTAAGCTTGATACTAATAGTCTAATCTGATTCAATGAATTATGCTAAACTAAGATAAATGTACTACTGACAGACCTGGAGATCTCCTGAATGGATACTAGAGCTGGTACCTAGTCACCGGGCAGGGGACTATTCCACAATAGAAATACAGAAGTGTCCAGCTTTAAATAGGAAAATTATCTACATTTTTTTTTTTATTCTTGAGCGAGATGCTAATGGTCTAATCAAATTCTATAATATATACTAAGCTAAGCTAAAAGTGCTCCAGACAGACCTGGAGATCAGCAGAATGGATTATCAGAGCCTACCTAGTTACCTGTCTGGGGGCTATTTCACGATAGAAATACAGATGTGTCCAGCTTTAAATAGGAAAATTATCTCAAATCTTTTTTTCAATTCTTGATTGAGATCATAATGGTCTAATCCGATTTGATGAATTATGCTAAGCTAAGCTAAACATACTCCTGCCAGTCCTGGAGATTGGCTGAATGGATTCAAAAATGGTAAAACTCAACTGTAGATGAGTTCATTTAAGGCTTTGCTGTATGTCGGATGCTTGAAGCTTCTGCTGTTTGCTCTTGATGTCCTAACACTTCACGTCTCCTCTGTGTTTTTCCTCTACACGCTCTCGCTCGTTTATGTAGGAGAAAGTTGAACCCCAGGTTGGTAAAGTTGCTCTTGCTTTCAGCTTCTGATGAGTGTTTATGTATGTGTGTCATTTCACCATTTGCTTGTCCACCTGAGATTTGTCCTAACTTTAATAGAGAAAGCTCCAGAAATAGTGTCACATCTCCTCATAACTGGCTCACTCACAACCATTTTACATTCGTCCTTCATGTTGACTTTGGTGTATTATCCATTATCACTTTACATTTGTTCAGGCTATGTGCCAATGTTCATGCTGTCTGTTGTGTATAGTTTAGTATAGTATAGATAAATGCATCCCAAATCATAGAATGATGAAAATAATGTGCAGAATATAACATGTTCTGTGTTGGGTTGATGCATTTCCGTTTTTAAACAGGATGTTGTCATATGACCGAGATGTTGTTGTAAATAGTAATGCTGTTATGGGAGTTTATATGACTAGTTTATATGACTTTTGATAGGGTAATTTTTCTATGGTTATAAAGTGAATCAACCTTTAAGCAGTACCATTAAGATTAGCATTTAGTTGAATTAGCATGGTGTTATCTAAAGGCTACTGTCTATTATTTTAATTCAGCTATCCAAATCCTAGTTTCATCCCAAATTTAAAAGAAATTTATATATTGGATAAACATAAGTGTATTCTCCAAAAATGCATGTGTGTATATGCGTGTATATAGTGTTGTGTAGATGCTGTATGCTAAATATATATTATATTATATTATATTATATCATATTATATTATATTATATTGTATTATATTATATTATACTTATTATATTACATTATATTATACTTAATATATTAAATTATATTTATTTTATTATATTACATTTTATTTATTACATTATGCTATATTATATTATATTTAATATATTACATTATTATATTATATTTAGTATATTATATTTATTACATTATATTATATGTGATAGCATCAGCATGTAGCTAAATTAGCATAAACAAAGGATATGCAGTTAACGAAAGGTTATTATAGTATATTATATAGTATTATATTAATTATAATATATTTAATTATGTTGTGTTATCTTATATTCACAGGGCCATTTAAATGAATTGACATTAACAATGTTAAAATAGCATTAGCACTAGCATTTAGTTTAATTAACATTAAAAAAGCTTATTTGCTAGTTGTCTTGCTAATTCCAGTGGTCATTGTTTATTTTCCTGCTAGCATAAATAGCCTCAGATCTAACAGACTTGGATTAAATCGCACTAAATGATTTCATATAGACATTTTATGAATGCAGCCAGAGGTTATAATGCTGTGATAGCATTAGCATGTAGCGAAATTAACATTAAACAAAGGATATCCAGTCAACAAAAGGACACAGTTTAATGCGCTTATATCATTAATTACAATTATTTTAAGTTATTCCTTTCTGAATAAAGATTTCTGTCCATATTTGGTCCTGACAATATAAAGAAATTCAAGCATTAGCATTAGCCGTTAGCATTTTCCACATTACTTGTCCCCTTCACTTCATTCTTCTTATCAGAATCACCGTTTTATGCCCTTTCCTACATCAATAATTCATTACCATCTGAATTTTGAATAGTACCCTGCTTATGAATTATAGATTTGCATTGGATGGATATGAATATGTGGCCGTCTGTGTATGTATTGTTGTCACTGGTGCAGTTGTGTGTTAATTACTGTGTGTTTAATGACGGTGGGAGGTTTTTGTGTGGGGTCAGCATGTCTTATAGCGAGGCGATGGATAAAGTCTCATTACTTTTAGCTTAGGGAGTGAGTCACAGTCTGACACCCCACAGCTCTCACCAAAACACAACATCTATTATTAAAACACCATCAAGACTCGCAGACAATAGACGCCCAGACGCATGACTCACTTTTTTCTTTTTGGATAAATCTACCATGTTTGTTGTAAATAATTCACGCAAAACTGAAAATGTGGAAAAAGTCATTGCAATTCTGACTTCAACTGTAAATGCTATGTTAGAAGTACGCTAGCGGATGACTTACAGATTTGGATTCAAATGCAAGATTGAACAAAAAATTTAATTTTATATGGTCGTAAAACCAATTGCATTGAACTAAAATGATCGCATTAATATGTACAGTATTTCAAAGGTGTAAAGAGTACCTGAAAACCACACTTGAGTAAAAGTACAGATACCAGTAAAAATTACTCCATTACAAGTTACAAGTCACCAATTCCAATAAGACTTGAGTACAAGTATTAAAGTATCCATATTTAAAAGAACTTAAGTATTTTACTCATATGTTGGCTCATAGAACACCAAGAAAGGTTTTATTTCCTAGTATAGAAATTAAATTAAATATGAACACCTCAATGTTTTTAAAATGGCAGAACAAAATAGATAAAAAAGAACAAAAAGTCTCAAACTCAAATGTTCAAAAAAAAGGCACAAACAATTTTTAAAAAAAAGTAGTAAAGCGTAGTAAAAGAAAAAATCAGAGCTGGCTTACAGGTGATTCACCTCTCAGGGCTCTATTTTGACGGTCTATGCGCAAAACGCAGGACGCAAACGCTTTCAGGGCGTGTCAAAACGCATTTTTGCTAATTTAAGGATGGGAAAATCGGCTTTGCGCCGTGGTGCATGGTCTAAAAGGGTTGAGTTTATTTTCTTAATGAGTTATAGGTGTGTTTTGAGAATAAACCAATTAGAGTCTCATCTCCCATTCCCTTTAAGAGCCAGCTGCGTCACGCCATAAGCGCATTCGCTATTTACAGGACGCAAAGTAAGTCTAAGTGGAAAAATGAGCATTTCACAAGCAAACAGTTCACAGTTTTTTTAACAGAAAACTGTTAAACAGAGCATCTACTGCGTGAGAATGAGAGATAATGAATCACTTTCACTTTAGCTCTTGGATAAGGAAACCTTTACGCACAGACATCAATTATTCTATAAATATTCGTTTCAAAACTATTTCTAAATTCAGTTCTAATTTTCAGCAAACGAATAAATGAATAATAATAACGTAGTGCGGTCAAAAACCTGAGTTATATCCTTAAACACGGGATCATCCCGAGATGAAGAAGACATAAAAGCAGTGATTTTTCATCTTTATGTAGGCTAGAAAATAATATGTTTTGTAATATTTTAATCCTTTATATTTATATCCTATATCTATTCTCATTATATCCTATATACATCCTTAATATTTGAATTTTTTCATATGTAAAGATATTTGCCTATTGCTCTCTTGTATTAAGCAGTGTGTAAGCGAGGCGCAACTCTGCGCCAGAGTTTAGACCAGGTTTGTTTTGGTCTAATGAAAAATCTATTATAGTTTCTTAAAATAGCGACGCGCCAGCGGTCCGCCTCAGAACGCCTTCCTTTTTAGACCAGAACGCCTATGGGCGCACATATGAGCGCTGATGTATTTGCTATTTAAACAGCGTAGCGCAACGCCTCAAAACCACTCTTGCGTCAAGCTGAAACTACCAAAAGACTATTGCGCCGTGCCTTGCGCCACATTGCGCCGGGTGTATGATAGGGCCCTCAGTCTCAAAGGGGGTCAATTTTATTTTGAGTAGTTTTTCAGTTGATTAAAATGTTTTCTCTGTATTAAAATTAAAGGAGCGGAGCGGTGTTATTTTTCAACTTAGTAAACTACATATAAATTCAATGAAAAATACATCACAAACTCACAGCTAAATGCGCCTGATGCAGAATGTATCATTTTAGCGATACATTTATTCTTGTTGCACAAAAAAAAAAGCTTAAACAGTCATGTCATGTCGCAGTGGTTTTTGTCATATCAGTAACTGTATTAAATTCACTAAATTCACATTTAATTAACATTAAATAGAATCTTACCTCAATGTGTTTTCTCAAATTTGACGATAAATTCTTAAAAAAGGTGCCGACTTGTCGCGCACAATCACAATGTTACAGGTAACAAGAAGCACCCGTTCAAATGTAGTGGAGTAAATAGTATATATCCTCAATCAAAAATGTAGTAAAGTACAGAGTAAAAGTTGCTTATATTTTTAATACTCAGTACAAGTACAATGTAGCCAAAAAAATATTTGCGTAAAGTAACAAAGTCCATTTACTTAAGTATTTTACACCACTGCAAGTATTTAGTTAAACTACTATTTTTATTACTCAGTGTCATCATATCATCACAAAATTTATATATAATGTATCACTATTATATACTCTTAATACATGTATGTAATAGCAAAAAAAACAAAAACAGCTATGTTAAATTGTAATAACATTTCACAATAGTACTGCTATCGGGTCCGGCACGTTCATAGAGGCGACCTAACCGCGACATCCCCCCCTGTCCTCACTTTCATCTGCGACCGCCGGCCCCCGGTCTTCTCTTCGCAAACAGGTCACTTTAGTTTTCACTTTTAGGTTGAATGAGAGTGTTTGGGTGTTTCCCAGTGATAGGTTGCAGCTGGAAGGCCATCCGCTGTGTAAAACATATGCTGGATAAGTTGGCAGTTCATTCCGCTGTGGCGACCCCTGATGAATAAAGGGACTAAGCCGAAAAGAAACTGAATGAATGAATGATAATGACAATTGTTTTTGATATCGTCATAGTCTTTGGTGAGAATAAGACACAGACATTTAAATTAAAATGACATGTGTAAAAGATGCACGTCTAAAATATAAAAATATATTAATAAAAGAACACATATGTTCATATTTTAATCTTATTAGATCAGTCACATGGGTTTGAAACAAGATGAGCGTGAGTAAATGATGACGGAGGGTTAATTTTAGTGTGCACTCTCCCTTTAAATGCTGTTTAATTTTCGTGTAATTTGGCTGAGGTGCTTAAGAAGAGCTTGGTCTGCATTCTTATGGCTGATTTGAGGGATTATGCAGCAGGAATGATCTCGGGGTGTAATGTGTTTTGGGCGGGTTTGTGGATGTGTGTTTGCTGTGAGTCAGACTGCAGGTGTATTAACTGTGTTTTGTGCTGTTTCAGGGAGGGTGACTGGTGGCTAGCGCGATCACTGACGACAGGAGAGAGCGGATACATTCCCAGCAATTACGTGGCACCGTCTGACTCCATCCAGGCTGAAGAGTAAATCCTCCTCCTCCTTTTTTTTCTCTCCTTTTTTTGCTTTGCTCTTCTCCTCCCTGAGGCTCCATTGGTTTGCTTTTGATTTCCCTTTGTTGTGATGTCAGAACTCTCTAATCCAATTGGATCTCTCCCTGACATGATTCTGATTCCTTACGAATGCAGATATTGATTCCTTTAATCAAAAATCAGCTAATTGATTCGAGTCATCTTAATTTATGCAGTTCTTATACAATCAATAGATTTCAAAGCAGCTTAACAGTAATAAATAAGAGAACGACAATGACTGATTCAGTGGTTTGATTCAGTAGAGTCATTGAATTGATTCATTTAAAAAGAATGTGCTCAAAAGAGTCACTTGTTCTACAAAGAAATGTTCTGACTCAATAGACTGATTTGTTCATGAATCACAAAATCTTTTGACTCATCTGAGCTTGATTCTGGTTCCGATATTGATTCTTTTGCTCAAAAATCAGCTAATTGATTCGAGCCATCTTTATTTATGTAGTTCTTACACAATAAATAGATTTCAAAGCAGCTTAGCAGTAATAAACAAGAAAATAACAGTGACTCATTCAGTGGAGTCATTAAATTGATCCATTTAAAAATAATGTGCTCAAAAGAGTCACTTCTTCCACAAAGAAAAGATTTGACTCAATAGACTGAATCGTTCTTAAATCACAGCATCTTTCAACTCATCTTAGCCCGATTCTTGTTCCGATATTAATTATTTTACTCAAAAATCAGCTAATTGATTCGAGTCATCTTTATTTGTGTAGTTTTTATACAATCAATAGATTTCAAAGCAGCTTAGCAGTAATAAACAGGTGGATAACAATGACTGATTCAGTGGTTTGATTCAGTGGAGTCATTGAATTGATTCATTTAAAAAGAATGTGCTCAAAAGAGTCACTTGTTCTACTTAGAAAAGATCTCACTCAATAGACTGATCCGTTTATAAATCACAAAATCCTTTGACTCATATGAGCTTGATTCTGGTTCCTTACTGATGCCGATAATGATTCTTTTACTCAAAAATCAGCTAAATGATTCGAGTCATCTTTATTTATGTAGTTCTTATACAATAAATAGATTTCAGAGGAGCTTAACTGTAGTAAACAGGGAAAATGACAGTGACTGATTCAGTGTTTTCATTCAATGGAGTCATTGAATGGATTCATTTAAAAAGAATGTGCTCAAAAGAGTCACTTGTTCTATTAAGAAAGTTCTGACTCACTAGACGTTTAGTTCATGATTTACAAAACCCTTTGACTGATCTGAGCTTAAATCTGGTTCTGATATTGATTCTTTTACTTAAATATCAGCTAATTGATTCAAGTCATCTTTTTTATGTAATTCGTACACAATTAATAGATTTCAAAGCAGCTTAGCAGTAATAAATAGAAGAATGACAATGATTTAGTAGTTTGATTCAGTCGATTCATTCACTTGATTCAAAAAAGAATGTGCTCGAAAGAGTCATTTGTTCTACAAAGAAAAGATCTGACTCAATAGATCAATTCATTCATGAATCACAGAATCTTTTGACTCATCTGAGCTTGATTCTGGTTCCTTGATGGCGATAATTACTATTTATGTGATCCAGTGATGGGTTGCAGCTGGAAGGGCATCCACTGCGTAAAACATATGCTGGGTTAATTGCCGGTTCATTCCGCTGTAGCGACCCCAGATTTATAAAGGGTCTAAGCCGAAAAGAAAATGAATGATGAATGATTCAGTGGTTTGATCTGTTTTGGTTTGAGTCACTGAAACGATTCAGTTAAATTCACTCAAGAGAGTCATTTGATCTTGACTGAACATATTTGACTCAACAAAGAGATTTGCTATAGTACTGTCATTGAACCAAATCAGCATTGAACTGAATAGTTTAATACAGTAACTGTGCCACATTAGTCATTTATGAAATGAGTTTTGGTTTACGCTGCAGCTCTACTCAAGTTAATGTAAAATAATGAAACTGATTCATTCATAAGTGGATGAATCACATGTTAATTTCCTAACCACCCTCACTGACTCAGTGATTGACCTATGAGTCTTTGTGCAAGTCACATGAGGAGTTCAAACATGTGATTCAACAGAACAATCGGTTCATGAATTATCAACACTGTCAGTATTTTAATACATCAGTTAAAATACTGATGCTCAATGCAGTTATTGCAAATAACTAAAAGTAAAACAATATAAAAACCTTGCTTGTAAATAATTCTTGAAATAACTAAAATTTCTTTCTAAAAAAGCGTGTTTATGAATACAAATAACAAAAACAAAAAAAGCAAACAAATCTACAAAAAAAAAACAAGAAAACTGCAAACTAAAACTAATAACTGAAACTTATATCTGCTATATCTTAAGCAGTTAGAGTAATCTCAAGTTTATGCTTATATAGGTTTATAAGGAAGGAGGATTGATACGTCTCATAAAATAATGTTTTTGTAACATTCTTCCACAGTACAGAGAAGTAATGAATAATTTAATATCAATTATATGCAAACATATAATATATCTAAACATGGTAAGCTAGCTGGGTGTTTTAATGCACAAATACTAATATGACAAAAGATCCAGGCAAATTTGTGTCATTTCTGCAATTAACCAAAGAAAATTTAATTGACCGTTAAAAAAACAGCCACTTGAACTAATTGTTTTTATAATTTTCCAGGCATTGGAATTACAACTATGTACATTTGTTGAATATAATTTTATAATTCAGATAAGTCTCAGATAAATTATTAGTTCCCCCTAATTTTTAGCCCCCCTATTTATTTACTGTTTTACCCTATTTCTGTTTAATGGAGAGAAGATTTTTTCAAGACATTTCTAAACACAATAGTTTTAATAACTTATTTCTAATAACTAATTTATTTTATTTTAGCCATGATGACAGTAAATAATATTTTACTAGCCATTTTTAAGACAATTCTATAAAATGCTTAAGTAGGGTAATTAGGTTGATCAGACAGGTTAGGGTAATTAGCCAAGCTATTGTATAACAATGGTTCGTTCTATCGAAAAAATATATAGCTTAAAGGGAATAATAATATTTACCTTAAAATGGTGTTTAAAAAATTAATAACTGCTTTTATTCTAGCCCAAATAAAACCAATAAGACTTTCTCCACAGAAAAAATATTATCAGACATACTCTGAAAATTTCCTTGCTCTGTCAATCATCATTTAGAAAATATAAAAAAATAAATAAAAAAGGGGCTAATAACTCTGACTTCAACTGTATGTGTGTATAATATCTATATATATATATATATATATATATATATATATATATATATATATATATATATGATAACTTTATTTACAATTCTAATGGTTTAAACAATATATGTATACAGCATTTGTGTAATATTTAAAAATATATGTTACATATATTACATATTTCACACATGTGAAATGCAAATATGAACTTGTATGTCATACTGTATACAGTTGAAGCCAGAATTCTTATAAATTATTATGCCCCTGTATTTTTATGGAGAACAGATTTTTCTAAAATATTTCTAAACATAATAGTTTTAATAACTCATTTCTAATAACTGATTTATTTTATCTTTGCCATGATGACAGTAAATAATATTTGAGATATTTTTCACACTACTAGTATTCAGCTTAAAGTGACATTTAAAGGCTCAAAATGGTTTTTAAAAAAATTAAAAGCTGCTTTTATTCTAGACTAAATAAGACAAACAAGAAATTTTTTTCTCTAAAAGAAAAAAATATTATAGGACATATCGTGAAAAAATTCCTATGTTAAACATCATTTGGGAAATATTTGAATAAGAAAAAAAATAATTCACATGAGGGCTAATAATTTTGACTTTAACTCTATGTAGTTTGCTTATAGCGCCATATATCATACAGTGCATTCGGAAAGTATTCATAGCGCTTCACTTTTTCCACATTTTTTATGTTACAGCCCTATTTTAAAATGGATTCAATTCATTTATTTCCTCAACATTCTACACACAACACCCCATAATGACAATGTGAAAAAGAGTTTTTTGAAACTGTTGCAAATGTATTCAAAATAAAAAACCTGAAAAAACACATGTACATCAGTATTCACAGCCTTTGCTCAATACTTTGTTGATGCACATTTTGCAGCAATCACAGCCTCAAGTCGTTTTGATTATGGTGCCACAAGCTTGACACACCTGTCTTTGGGAATTTTTGTCCATTCCTCTTTGCAGCACCTCTCAAGTTCTGTCAGGTTGGATGGGAAGCGACAGTGTACAGCCATTTTCAGATCTCTCCAGAGATGTTCAATTGATTTATGTCTGGGCTCTGGCTGGGCCACTCAAGGACATTCACCGAGTTATTGTTGTACCACTCCATTGTTATTTTGGCAGGGTGCTTTGGGTCATTGTCCTGCTGGAAGATGAACCGTCGCCTCAGTCTGAGGTCAAGAGCACTCTAAAGCAGGTTTTCATTCAGGATGTCTCTGTACATTGCTGCATTCATCTTTCCCTCTATCCTGACTAGTCTTCCAGTTCCTGCTGCTGAAAACATCCCAACAGCACGATGCTGTCACCAACATGCTTCACTGTAGGGGTGGTATTAGCCTGGTGATGAGCGGTGCCTGGTTTGCTCCAAACATAATGCCTGGCATTCACACCAAAGAGTTCAATTTGAGTCTCATCAGACCAGAGAAGTTAGTTTCTTATGGTCTGAGAGTCCTTCAGATGCCTTTTAGCAAACTCCAGGCACTAAGTGTCTTCCGTCTGGCCACTCTACCATACAGGCCTGATTGGTGGATTGCTGCACAGATGGTTGTCCTTCTGTAAGGTTCTCCTCTCTCCACAGAAGAACGCTGGAGCTCAGAGAGTGTGACCATCGGGCTAATAATCACTTCCCTGACTAAGGCCCTTCTCCCCTGATCACTCAGCTTAGATGGCCGGCCAGCTCTAGGAAGAGTCCTGGTGGTTCCAAACATCTTCTGATGATGGAGGCCACTGTGCTCATAGGGACTTTCAGAGCAGCAGAAATGTTTCTGTAACCTTTCTCAACCTTGCGCCTCGAGACAATCCTGTCTCGGAGCTCCACAGACAATTCCTTTGTCTTCATGCTTGGTTTGTGCTTTGACATGCACTGTCAACCCTGGGACCTCATATAGAAGTAGAAACAGAATGTACTTGAGCTCAATTTAGAGCTTCATGGCAAAGACTGTGGATACTTTATGTGATTTTCAGGTTTTTTAATTTTAATAAATTTGCAACAATTTCAAAAACTCTTTTTCCACATTGTCATTATGGGATATTGTGTGTAGAATTTTAAAGAAATAAATTAATTTAATCCATGTTGCAATAAGGCTGTGACATAAAAAATTAGCAAAAAGTGAAGCGCTATGAATACTTTCCGCATGCACTGTATTTCAGAATGGGATATTACTGTCGCTCAGCAGAATTCTTCATACTCGGCCCATCTCTCTTTCTCCTTTTGCTCTGACCTTTGAGTCCTTCATTTCTCCCTTCATGCTTTTGCACTTTTGCCCTCGTCCATTATCTAAAATATAGTCACTCCATCATTCCATCAGTCCCACACAGAAAACCCCAAAGAGCTTTTCCCAGTAGAGCGAGTGAAAGACGTCAGCATTAGCCTACTATTGTCTGTCCTGTTCTAATGCTAACACACACACACACACACACACACTGTTGCTCAGTACAGCTTTAAACAAATACACACAAGCAGTCTTTTGAATTGCTGTAATGACTAATTTTTCCACCCTTGCTTCGCCAGTCATCTCAGATTGACTCTGGAGAAAAGGTAAGACTCAAAGAAAGAGAGATTTATAGACTATAAACGTCACTGGGTCAGTCATCAATCCCAAACGTTATCGCTACCGGAGGCAGAATCTTACAACCTGAATCGCTGTTTAATATCTTGAGGATTACTGTAAAATATAATCACTGTAGGTTTAAAAGATAAACTCTACACAAGCTATTAACAGAAACCAGGCCCGGATTGGTTAATCGGGAGGACCGGGAGAATTCCTGGTGGGCCGGTTCGTTTTTCGGCCGCGAGGGCCAGTGTCCCTAGCTCCAGAATCTGTAGCTCTCAGCAGTCACACTTTTTAAATTAATTTATTTATTTACTTGACCACAGTCTTCTTATCCATTATTTTACCGCAGCTCTGCTCTTTTTATATATAACCAGCCTGCAGTTTCATAATGTTATAAGTCACCTTTCATTACACAACCGTTGTGGCCCAGAGGTTAGCACGTTAGATTACGACGTCGCCAACACGGGTTTGATCCTCGCCCGAGTATGTTATTATTTTCATTTTTATTGTTGAGACAAATAATACTGTTTGAGTTGTTGAACATTTGAAGTTCTAAAGCGGCTGTTTTCTCAAAAAAAAAAAAAGACGTGATGGTGTAATTAGAAACTGAATTGGAAATGACCTTATTTTAATATAGTCAGTCGTGAACTGAGGTGGGCCGGTCTGAGGCTTGAAACTCCAGGGCTGAAAAGGAGTCCCACTCCGGCCCTGACAGAAACTATCATGATTTATTGACAATAAACGTCACTGGGTCAGTCGTCAATTCTAAACATTATCGTTTTATAGTTACTGGAATCAGAACATTACAACCTGAATCAGTGTTTAGTATCTCGCGCTGTACAATTCTGTTGAGGATTACAGTAAAATATAGTCACTGTAGGTTCAAAATATATACTCTAAACAAGCTATTAACAGAAAAAGCCAAGATTTTATAACACAAATGTCACTGGGTCAGTCGTCAATCCCGGAAGTTATCGTTTAATCGCTACTGAAACCAGAACATCACAACCTGAATCAGTGTTTAATATCTCATACTTACTTACTCCAACATTCTGTTGAGGATTACTGTAAAATATAGTCACTGTAGGTTCAAAATATATACTCTAAACAAGCTATTAACAGAAAAAGCCAAGATTTTATAACACAAATGTCACTGGGTCAGTCGTCAATCCCGGAAGTTATCGTTTAATCGCTACTGAAACCAGAACATCACAACCTGAATCAGTGTTTAATATCTCCCGCTGTACAATTCTGTTGAGGATTACTGTAAAATATAGTCACTGTAGGTTCAAAATATATACTCTAAACAAGCTATTAACAGAAAAAGCCAAGATTTTATAACACAAATGTCACTGGGTCAGTCGTCAATCCCGGAAGTTATCGTTTAATCGCTACTGAAACCAGAACATCACAACCTGAATCAGTGTTTAATATCTCCCGCTGTACAATTCTGTTGAGGATTACTGTAAAATATAGTCACTGTAGGTTCAAAATATATACTCTAAACAAGCTATTAACAGAAAAAGCCAAGATTTTATAACACAAATGTCACTGGGTCAGTCGTCAATCCCGGAAGTTATCGTTTAATCGCTACTGAAACCAGAACATCACAACCTGAATCAGTGTTTAATATCTCATACTTTACAATTCTGTTGAGGATTACTGTAAAATATAGTCACTATAGGTTCAAAATATATACACTATTAACATGAATTATTATGATTCAATGACTATAAAAGTCACTGGGAGTCAGTCGTAATGTTATATCGCTACTGGAACCAGAACATTACAACCTGAACCGCTGTTTTATAAGCTACATTTTAAAATGGTGTAGTTATGATTTAATATACAGTACACTGCTGTTCATGTGCTTTGGGTCAATAAGAAAGGAATCAATAGTTTTATTTTTTAATTTATTGATGATCATCTAATGATGCTGACAAATTAACAATGACTTTTACTGACATTTTTGGTGACGTTTGAAATTAGACATTGTCTGGATTGGTTATGTAAATGAGCTAGTAATAAGGTTGAAGGGGGTTTTTTTGTACAGATTTATTTCTATATATCATTTGTTTTACTATATATGGTCACAAACCGCTAATAATTTCAACTTCTCAAGTAATGTCAATTTCTTGGAGATTAGTTCCTACTTTCATAATGCAATTCAAAAGCAAAATTAAAAAGAAAACACCTCTTAATTAGTTCTTGATTTCAGCCAATTATAAATGAAGAGTTTTTGCATTGAGTGTTTATTTGTATGGTCAGTCTCTATCTGGCCAGCTGCATGTTTCTGATATGATGTAATGACATCATCTAAATCCCTCCGTCTGTGTGTTTTCTGTGTTTCTCCAGATGGTACTTCGGAAAAATCACACGCAGAGACTCTGAGCGACTGCTCTTGAATCTGGAGAACAGACGAGGAACTTTCCTGGTCAGAGAGAGCGAGACCACCAAAGGTGATTGAATGAGAACTGTAAACATGCTTTAAAGATGGATTTTTTTTAGATTTATTACTTTATTCAATAAAAAGTGATATTTCTTTTCAAGCATATAGTCTTTTTTTATTATATAGTTTATTATTAATTTATTAGTAATTTTAATAATAATAGTACTACTACTACTACTACTGTGGAAATGTTTTTTTATACATTTTATATTTAAATTTTACCAAAGGAAGTAAAATGTGAAGAGTACAGTTTAAACTTTATTTATTTATTTATTTTTTAATTGATTCATTCATTTTTAATTATAACACTTATAACACTATTATATATAATTAAATATTATTATATCATTTAGATTTATTTATTTATTCATTTATTTATTTAAATAAAATTTTTGTTTATTATTATTTTATTTAGTTTTAGTTTTAAATATAATTATATATACGTTTTTATTTATTTTATTAAAATTATTTAGTTTTATTCATTTTATTTTAGTTGTAAATATAATGATATATAATTTATATTTATTTAAAAAAAAACATATTTATTTTATTTTATTTTAGTTTAGTTTAAAATATAATTACATATTATTTTTATTTATTTGCCTAATTTTTTTATTTTAGTTTTAAATATAATCATATATAATTTGTATTTATTTGTTTAAAAATTTTATTATTTATTTAAATGCTATTTTTATTTATTTTATTTTAGTTTAGTTTTTTGTTACTTTTTTGCTTGGATAATTTTTATTTTATTTATTTTGTTGTAGTTTTAAATATAATTATATATAATTTCTATTCATTTATTCGTTTAAATTTCTATTTATTTAATTTTATTTTTTAAATGTAATTTTTATTCATTTATTTGTCTAAATTAATACTTTTTAATTATTTCATCTTTTTTGTTTTAAAAATGATTAGAAATAATTCCTATTTATTTATTTATTTACATTTTTATTTATTTAAATCTAATTCTTACTTTTAATTATTTTGTTTTAGTTTAGTATAGTTTTTTAAATATAATTATATATATATTTAATTTTTTTATTTGCTTTAAATTATTTTTATTTATTTTATTTTATTTAAGTTTTAAATATAATTTCATCATTTCTATTTATTTATAAATTTTTTTATTTTATTTATTTAAATTTTTATTTATTTTAGTTTACAAGAACTGCAAATGTAGTTGCTTTTACGGAACAAAAGTCTCCCAAATACATAAACCCACCCAATCCCATTCAGAAAGCTAAATTTAACATTGCATAATAAAGAAACTATCAATGATGACTAAGAACCACAATCATGCTTGAGGAAGCTGTGTTTCTGGAGCACATTATTAAATTAAGCACACATTCACAGTTCAATTTCCCTTCTGTGTCGACAGTTTGTCACTCAAATTCATCTTTAAACACTGTAAAGAAGGCCTTGTACTGTACAGTGAGCTCTCGCACAAACAGTGTTGATTAGAGCTGATATAAAGAGTGCTGAAGGTTGTGTGTTTGTGTGCTGATGAAGAGGAGAAGTGAAGGTCAGAGTAGAGCCTGCAGCCATGAAGAGCTGAAGTAGGTCAAGCTGATAACCGTGAGCCATACAGTATCTCACAGAAACACACACAGGACACACTGAAGGACACAGAAGAGGCAGAGAGGATGCATGAATGAAAGAAATGTATGCATGAGTGAATGATAATGAATGAATAAATACATGACTGAATATATGTATGCATTACTGACAGAATTAATGAATGCATGAGTGACTGAATGATGCAATGACTGAACTAATAAATGACTGTGTGAATTAATGTATGCATGACTGACAGACTGACTCAATGAATGAATGAATGAACGAATTTAACAATTTATGACTGACTGAATCAATGAATGCATGAGTGACTGAATAATTAAATGACTGAATTAATTAATGACTAGGTGAATTAATGAACGCATGACTGACAGACTGACTCATCGAAGAAATTAATGAATGAACAAACGAATAAATGAATTTATGACTGAATGAATGCATGAGTGACTGAATGAATGAATTAATGACTGGGTGAATTACTGAATGCATGACTGACTGACTCAATGAATGAATGAATTAATGAATGAATGAATGGATGGATGACTGACTGACTGACTAAACGAATGAATGCATGCATGGCTGACTGAATGAATGCATGGATTACTGACTGATTGAATTAATTCATGCCTGACTGCATTAATGAATGCATGATTGACTGAATGAATTCATAAATGAATGAATGCATGAATAAATGCATGACTAACTGAATGAATTCATAAACGAATGAATGAACGCATGACTGACTGACTGAATGAATACATGAATGAATGAATCAATGAATGACCGAATAAAAGCATGGATGACTGACTGACTGATTGAATGAATGTATGACTGACTGACTAAAGGAATGAATGCATGCATGTCTGAAGGAATGACTGACTGAATTAATGAATAAATGACTGACTGAATGAATGAATGCATTAATGAATTCATGACAGACTGAATGAATGCATGACTGTCTGAAATAATGAATGTTTGCATGAATGAATGACTGAATGAATGCATGGATTACTGATTGAATTAATGCCTGTCTGAATTAATGAATGCATGATTGACTGAATGAATGCATAAATTTATGAATTTATGACTGAATGATTGAATGCATGCTGACTGACTGACTGACTGACTAAAGGAACGACTGACTGACTAAATAAAAGAATGACTGACTTACTAAATGCATGACTGACTGAATTAATAAATGCATGAATGGATGTATGTATTAATGACTGGTTGAATTAATGCCTGTCTGACTGAATTAATGAATGCATGATTGACTGACTGAATTAATTAATGAATGCATAATTGACTGAATGAATGAATGCATGACTGACTGACTGAATTAATGAATACATAAATGAATGACTGACTGACTGACTGAATGCATGACTGACTGACTAAATTAATAAATGCATGAATGAATGACTAACTGAATGAATGCATGATTGACTGAACAAATACATGAATGAATGAATGCATGACTGACTGATTGAATTCATAAATTATTAAATGCATGACTGAATAAATGCATGACTGACTTATCGACTAATGGCATGACTGACTGACTGACTGATTGAATGAATGCATGACTGAATGATAGCTTGACTGATTGACTGACTGAAGGAATGAATGAATAAACGAATGCACGACTGACTGACTGACTGACTGGATGCATTGATGAATGTATGACTGACTGAATGAATGCTTAAATAAAATCCTCTTTGTATTTTTTTAGGTGCCTACTGTCTCTCCGTCCTGGATTACGACAACGTGAAGGGCCTGAATGTAAAACATTATAAGATCCGCAAACTGGACAGCGGTGGATTTTACATCACGTCCCGCACACAGTTCAGCACATTACAGCAGCTGGTCAACCACTACCGCCGTGAGTCAATTCAACTCAGTTCAATTCAGCTCAGCTCAGCTCAGCTCAACTCAACTCAACTCAACTCAGTTCAGTTCAGTTCAGTTCACTTCAATTCAATTTAATTCAATTCAGTTCAATAGCTTTTTTTGTCATGAGTTGTCAAGTGTTGCCAAACAATACATAAACAATAAAAAATGTGATTAAATAATACACATATAAATACACAAAAAACACACATTTGGAAAGTTGATACACATATAAACGAATAAGAAGAATGAAAGAAATAATTAATAATAAATATAAAAATACACAACTGTACATTCATTCATATGGTTTGTAGTAAGGATTCTGACTAGTTTTGATTCTGACTATCACATACGCACACTCACACACACCTGCTGATCTCTGAGTCTCTGTCAGGGGAAGTGATACACACTCCTATTTCTGGAAGTGGGAACTCGGCCTGTTGTAAAATAAGCTGGGTAAAACCATAAATACAGCTTGTGATTAAAACAGTAACTCAGGAGGTCGTGCAGTACAGCTTTGATTGCAGAAAGATGGAATAATGCTGACTGAATACATGCATAAGATTATTTAGAATTGTTGTTGTTGTTGTTATTATTATTATTATTATTTTTATTGTTATTATTATTATTATTGTTGATATTATTATTATTATTTTTATTGTTGTTGTTATTATTAATATTGGTATTATGATTATGATTATTATTGTTGTTGTTATTATTATTATTATTATTATTATTATTATTATTATTATTGATGTTTGGTAATGAAGAGTAAATATTTTCCTATGCATTATTCACTTTCCAATAAAAAATCTGATTAACCCAGGCATTGTGCTGAAAATAATCACACATCACTATGCAGTCACTATGCATATGCAAAATCACACAGCACTATGCACATTGAGAACTTTACCTAAGCATTCATACTGTATTTACACTAATAAGCAACATTTCAATTTAACTTGCATGCATATAGCTTTTATTAATTATATACACAGGGAAAATCATTATCCTTCCTGTGAACGTTTTGTTTATTTATTTATTCAAATATTTACAGTATGCTGTTTAACAGAGCAAGGAATTTCACACAGTATTTGCAATAATATTTTTTTCTTCTGGATAGTGTTCCTTTAATTTGGCTGAGAGAAAAATGCATTTTTAAATTAATTTTAAAATAATTATATGGACTATTATTAATCCCCATAAGGAATCATTTTAAAGGTATTTTTATCAATTATAGTAATTTGTAAGTTATGATTTGTTTTTATTCCATAAAACTAATTTTTATAAAATAAATTATCAATAGTTATAATAATAATAATGATAATAATAAAAGTAATAATAACAACAATTATAATAATAATAATCCTATTGTATAATAATTATTCTTGAATATTTTTATTACTTGTTATATATTATATAAAATGTTAGTTATTATTTATGTATTTTTAAATTAAATATTCAATAAATAATAATAACAATTTAACATTTATTTAAAAAATCTAAAGTCTTATTTCTTTTCATTCCACAGGAGTAAATGCAGTTTTATGTAATTTTTCTCAATATTATTATGGTCAATATTTTTATTAAATTATTTTATAGCCATTTATAGAATATATATATATTTTTTATAAATGTATAAGTTATGATTAATTTGTTTTTATTTCATAACACAATTTTTAATCAAATAAATTGACAATGGTTATAATAATAATAATAATAATAAAAATAGCAACAACATTTTAAACCCTTTTATGTAAATTATAATGTTTAATTTGAATATTTTTAGAGTACTGATGTTTGTTTGTTTGCTTTATTTATAGAGCCCATTTAAAAACAACAGATGTTGACCAAAGTGCTTTACAAAAAGACCAGCATACAAAATCTATTCTATATATAATCTATATATAAATGCAAAATATGTAATAAGAACAAGTCAGAACTACAATTTTTTTTAAAACAGTACTAGTGAGAAACAGTAAACCCTGCCTCTCCTCCTCCTGTTTCTCAGAGCACGCAGACGGCCTGTGCCACTCCCTGACTGACGTGTGTCCAGTGCTGAAGCCTCCGACTCAGGGTCTGGCACGTGATGCCTGGGAGATTCCTCGAGACTCGCTGAGACTGGATGTCAAGCTGGGCCAGGGCTGCTTCGGGGAGGTCTGGATGGGTAAGACTTCTTTCTTCATCTTCGTTCAAAAACCGTAACAAAATAAAACAGAACATTGAATGCTAACTAGATCTTTGGATGCCAAAGATCTAAGCAGTGTTTCCATCCAGAACTATTCAGTCACTTCCTTATAAAACTGGCGCCAAATATCAATACAAAAAATGTAATTTGCTGTGGTCAAAGAAGTCACCGTGGGCCTTTTTTCTGACATAATAAATGACCTGTGCCTCAGAAGACGAAATGCAATGAACGTAATGGGCTGGATTTTCCAGGATTGAGATCAAGGCCAGAGGCTTGCTCTTGACATTGGTGGGGACCTTGGACACAGCTTTATTCACATTTTTTTTTTTGTTTAACTGCCACTATCGTCACTTTCCTGTCACCCACCCGTACACACCGTATGCTTGCGCAGCTTTGGCACTGTTACATCTGAACGCAGCTACAGCCTCTCAGACGACAGCAGTGAAAGGCTCAGCCAATCACATTGTTCATATGTGTTTTGGGGGCGGCACAACTCGAGTACAGAATGTGATTTATCCTGCATGTCCAGGTTAATTCTGACCGTGCGATTTTAAAGTGCACCCAAAAATTACACGCCAGGGAGGAAGCTGTCGTTCATTGAAGTAAGCTAACAGGGATGCTGATGTATAAAATAGGCGGATGGAAACGGAGCTAGTGTCCTGCAGAGTTTAGCTTCAACTTGCCTTACAGTAATTAGTATCTGTTTTACCCATCAGGCACCTGGAACGGGACGACACGTGTGGCCATCAAGACTCTGAAGCCTGGCACCATGTCTCCCGAAGCGTTCCTGCAGGAGGCGCAAGTGATGAAGAAGCTCCGGCATGAGAAGCTGGTGCAGCTTTACGCCGTCGTCTCAGAGGAGCCCATTTACATAGTCACTGAGTACATGGGTCAAGGTCAGTGTGGACCATCACTCAGACACAGTTGATGTCTGAATTATTAGAATCATTTATATGAAATGTGCTAAAGAATGTTGGTAAAGCGGTACATAATTAGGCAAAGATATATTTTATGCAGGACTGCTGCACCAACGAGGGTCAGTTCAACACTGTTTCTGAAGGAACAGTCAATATCAACTCTTCATGCTCATATCTAATATTGGATGTTTATATCAGGTTTTTATTTTTAAATGTGAATTGAATGCCTGTTTTGGAGCACACTAGCTTATCGATATCCTTAAAACTAACATACTCTGTGGTAACGTTGAAAGTAATGCATTTTAATTTTATGGGACCTTTAAAGTGACTCACATAGACCAGATCTGATGGCTTTAGATTAATCCTGCACCATTTATAAATGCACGTCTATTATGCACTGTATAGTCTGGTGACTGCTTTTAGATTTTCACTTAATATTTACTGTAAATATCAGAGAGATGTACTGTAGTGATGTGCGAACCACTGGTTTCTGATCCGATACTAAGTCAAATAAAGGCGAGTATCGGGGATACCAATACTCTGCCCAAAAATTACTGTTTGGGAAATTAAAGTAACAAGTAGTGTGTACTAAAAAGTGTCACTTTATTCTGAATACAAGACATATTACAGGTTATTGTTGTTTATTGTTTATTGATGAAGAGTTATCATACAAAAAAAGCCAACCTACATATATTATATTATATTATATTATATTATATTATATTATATTATATTATATTATATTATATTATATTATATTATATTATACTATATTTTGTATTATTTGTCCAATATTAGTTTTGAGTAAAACATGCACTCCTTTTCTATATTAATTGAAATATATGTAAACAGCACATATAGGGCCTGTGTTTACTTTACAAATATCATTGAGAACATTACACGTCTTATTCTAAAACAGAAAATCACTTACAAAAGCGAACACATATTCAAATATCATAAATAAATAAATAAATAAATAAATAAATAAATAAATAAATAAATTATGAGGCTATTTATTAAGAAATTAAATTTAATATTTATTATTTTTTAGGAAATGAAAAAAATCCTACTTTAATAATATTAATAATATTGATGATGGTTATTATTGTTATTATTATTATTATTATTAAGATATTGTTTAATTATTTTTTTTGAAAAGTCTACTTTTAGAATTTGACAAGCAAACCACTGCAGAAATGTTCTGACCAACAGGCCCATGTCATATACAGTACAGATACTTAATAAATAACCTATAAATTAAAAGCATTAGTATGCTATGTTTTTTGTTGTTAAAAGCTTTGGAGACTTAACGTAAATTCCACTTTTAAATAATAGGTCACCCTTACCTTTTGTCATGAGCCACGGCTGTGTTTAAAATTACATTAATGTTTTCAAAGTGAACTATTAAGGGAGCGCAATCGCAAACATGAACATTGCTAAAACTGAACTGTAAAAATATTTTAAAAAAGCAAATTACATCCGAGAGAGATTACTTAAATGCTTATTTTTTAATCATTCCAAGTTTAAATGTTAGAAGGTTCTAAATGAATAGGGCATAGGAGGGGATAACTGGGAATAGAACACAGGAACTATGTTTCTAACTACTGCTCGAGCGGTGTAGTTGCAAGCATACAAGTTGGTGATGCAGTTTGCGAATACTGGAAACGACGGATTTGGGAAACGCCAAATAAACAAACTATATTTGCAATGAGGGAACTTGCGACCTTATGCCGAGTTCAGACTGCATGCTTTTCAAAGTAGTCGTGTCACAGATGTTTTCACACTGCATGACTATCTGGGCTAGCATTTCGTCCCTGCTTTGTTTACACTGCAAGATGGATCGGCGACAGGGACATTCACATTGCATGACTATACAATAGGAAGAATCGCCAACAACTTCGTCCAAATCACGTCCCACAGCCAAAAACACATAGTATATATTTTGTTATTAACTACATAACGAGAAAGAAGCCTTTAATGGGGTAGAAAATGTACATATTTGTACTTGTATATACATAGCACGCCAAATATCTTGCAGGCATCGGCGACTCATTAGCGATTCTCCCAGATCGCGTCTTTGATCGTTCACACGGTGTGATTGTTACTCACGTGCTTGAGCACTGATTTGCCTGTGATTTCAGGCATTTGTCGGCGATTTCTCAAAACCTGTCGGTGAGTCAAAATCAGGGCTATAATCACGCAGTCTGAACTAAGCATGAGTTGGCTAACGATGGTTTTCAGAAACACACCCCAGGTCATTTTTGTAGCACAAATCAACAGGAGGGTTAATCAGTCATTTTCGGCTGTAAAAATAATAAAAAATGTCCTGCGAAATCCTGGAGGGACAGGCTGGAGATGTCTAGGAAACAAGAAGTGACGTGTAACATAAATGGAGCTTGAGCTGTGGATATTAGCAGCTTTCCTGTGAGGTCTGCCAGTAGACGTGCGAATGAAGATGTCAGAGTGTGATTTGTGTTTTCACAGGAAGCCTGCTGGATTTCCTGAAAGGTGACATGGGGAAAATGCTGCGTTTGCCTCAGCTCGTGGACATGGCCTCTCAGGTACTTCATACTGCTGTTAGGATGTGATGTCGAGTAATGAAATCAACACTGAGAAATTTGGAAATGGTCCCATAATTAGATCAAATACAGTCAAACCAACAATTTTTCAGACACCAGATATAACTGTTGGTATATTTTAAAGGGTGGTCCACTATGATATCATATTTAAAACTTAAGTTGATGTGTAATGTAGCTGTGTGAACATAAACAACATCTCTGATTGTAAGGGTGCTTTCACACCTGCCTTATTTAGTTTGATTGAATCGCACTAGAGTTCATTTGCCCTTTTCGTGCGGTTCGTTTGGGCAGGTGAGAATGCAGCAATCGTACTCGAGTGCGCACCAAAAGTGGACCAAATAGGCGTACCGAGACCTGCTTGAAGAGGGGGTCTCGGTACGCTTTCAAACGAACCCTGGAGTGGTACGTTTATGGTGAGAATATGATCCGTACTAAAACAGGTCCAACCGCAAAAAGTACTGCGACTTTTGTACTAATCCAGTTGCCGTAGGCCGATACGCTGTGCATTATGGGATATGGAGGAAAAATATTTGTTGACAGCGCTTTACCAACAGAGAGAGAGAGGGGAAAACATTACCTGATGGATCGTTGGTAATATTTCCGCAAGATGACCATGTGGCAGTTTAGCTAAATTAATTCACGCCTCCTCCTGAAGTGACGAGCGATGCATTAAACACTGTTTTCCAGCCGCGGCCGCGCTTCATTCTCGAAATGTATAGTTTGTCTAAAGCAGGAATACAATCAGCCAGCGCAGTCGTCCCTCCAGAGTAAAAAGACATTTTGTGTCTTCCGGTTTTGTTTGCCTGCGGGAGTTCATTGGCATTTTCCCGCACGTGAATTCTGACCAATCAATAAGCAGTTTAGGAAATATGTTCAACAACATCTGGCCAATGAGAGATGTGGATTTTGTCAGATGACTGCATTTTGGTTCGTTTTAACTGGTTCGGACCAAAGCCAGCAGTGTGGTGTAAAAAAGACCCAAAGACGGCAGAAAATGCAACAATGTATCATTTATTACCCTTGGTCCGGACCAAATGAAGAGAACTACAGATGTGAAACCACCCTTAGATGCTCAAACTTCAATACAAAGGGAGACATTGGCTTTTAGAGAGTTAGCTTAGCAAAGCCTACAGCGAACGAACTTGGGGACTACAAAAAAATACATTCGGGCTAATGAGATCACAAATGTTCCAGGTTACGCGCATTCACTGCGCACACACCTCACGCAGCAAAGGAGCGTGGCCACAGACGCATTAGTAGAGAAAGGAAAATGCAGTCCAAAGATGCAATGGCGGAGTAGGTAGTGCTGTCGCCTTACAGCAAGAAGGTCGCTGGTTCGAGCTTCGGCTGGGTCAGTTGGCGTTTCTGTGTGGAGTTTGCATGTTCTCCCTGCTTTTGCGTGGGTTTCCTCTGGGTGCTCCGGTTTCCTCCACAGTCCAAAGACATGCGCTATAGTTGAATTGGGTAGGCTAAATTGTCTGTAATATATGAGTGTGAATGAGTGTGTATGGATGTTTCCCAGAGATGGGTTGCAGCTGGAAGGGCATCCGTTGTGAAAAACACATGCTGGATAAGTTGGTGGTTCATTCCGCTGTGGTCCCTTTAATAAAGGGACTAAGCCAAAAAGAAAATGAATGAATGAATAAATAGGATGCACTGTCATCATGGCAAAGATAAAAGAAATTAGTTATTGAAAATTAGTTATTAAACTACTACATTAAAAAGTCTCTCCATTAAACGGCATTTGGCAAATGTCTGAAAAAGTGCAAACATTTTACAGGACAGCAAATATATTTTTGTCTCCAACTGTATTTGCCATCTTTAGAGAGCTGAATATCCTATAATGTATCTCTTTCTCTAAAAATATCATTGCGTAGCAGTTTTTCTATTGGCAGGCTCCCCTGTCATTGTCTCCGAATGTAAATGAATCTATTTCTGTGCTGTGGATGCTCTGGAGAGCGGTATATAATGTATGTGTTGTCCTCAGATCGCCTCAGGAATGGCATACGTGGAGAGAATGAACTATGTGCACAGGGACCTCAGGGCTGCCAACATCCTGGTGGGCGATAACCTGGTGTGTAAAGTGGCTGATTTCGGCCTCGCTCGACTCATTGAGGACAACGAATACACCGCGAGACAAGGTTAGGATGAAAATTCAGACTATACTCACTCCTTTTCAAGACAATGCTGTTGCCTTTTATTCACCTCTTTCATACACCCCATGATCTTTAGCGTGAGTAATTTTGGGTAAAGTCAGCATGAACCGCAAGCTTCAACCATTTTTTTTCGTATTGTGATGCAGTTACTAGAATATTAAATGATAAAACAGTGGGAATGGCTTCTTTTTTCTATTGCGAGCTGATTAGATGTAGGAAAGTCGGCATTTCATTCAGAAAGATCGGGAAAAAGATTATAGGAGAGTTATTAGAATGTAATTAATAATTTCTTTCTTAAGTAAATCCTGTGAGTGTAAAATCTTTACCACCTACTCTGATTATTATGCATGCCCCAGGCAGCGTTTGATTGGCCATAATGTTTTCTAGTGAGATTACAACAATTATATTTTCCCCTCATTTTTAACTTAATCTTAAGCTTGTGTTAAACATATTATCCACGTGAGGCACTTATTTTGAAAACGGGAGGGGCCTGGAAACTAAAAAAGGGAGCCATGCGTCTCTGTCAAATCGCAAAATGCAGGATATACGGATTAAAAATATATTCAGCGCCACTCCGAAGAGGCATATTGACAGTTTAAATGTATGTTTTGTTAGCTTAACGTGTATGTTGTGAAATTTGTCACATGTTTGAATAGAGGCAACAGGCTCATGTGTAGAAAACTATTTAACATATTGAATCGATGCACTGTATGCCAACTGAAACAAAATTTTCCTCATTTTTTAAAACTTTATCTAAGGTTGTGGTAAACATATTATGTATATGGAACTCTTATTTTGAAAATGGGAGGGGCAGTGAGACTAAAAAAGGAGCCCCGTGTCTCTCAGAGTGCAAAATGCAGGATATACCAATTAAACGTATAAACAGCACCTCTCCGAAGAGGCATAATGACAGTTTAAATGTATGTTTTGTTAGTTTAACGTGTATATTGTGATATTTTTCTATTGTGATTGTTTGTATAGAGGCAACAGACACGTGTAGAAAACTATTTAACATGTTGAATCAAAGCACTCTGAATAATATGAGCTCTATATATGTGATGCTTTAATGTCATTGTTTCTTCGTTCCCATGTAAATCCTTTGAGTGTAAAATCTAAAACACCGACTGTTTAATATGCTCGCTTCAGGCAGCATTTAATTGGCCACAAAGTTTTCTAGTGAGATTACAATAACAATATTTTTTCCTCTCTTTTTTAACTTTATCTTAAGCTTGTGTTAAACATATTATCCATGCGAGACTCTTACTTTGAAAATGAGAGGGCAGGGAGACTAAAAAGGGAGCCATGTGTTTCTGTCAGAGCACAAAATGCAGGATATACGGATTAAACATATATTCAGCGCCACTCCCAAGAGGCATAATGACAGTTTAAATGTATGTTTTGTTAGTTTATCGTGTATATTGTGAAATTTGTCACGTGTTTGTATAGAAGCAACAGTCTTATGTGTAGAAAACTATTTAACATATTGAATCAATGCACTGTATGCCATCTGAAACTAATTTTTCCTCATTTTTTATGTATCTAAGGTTGTGGTAAACATAATATATATATTGAACTCTTATTTTAAAAATGGGAGGGGCATGGAGACTAAAAAAGAGAACCCTGTGTCTCTCAGAGTGAAAAATGCAGGATATAGGGATTAAACGTATAAACAGCACCCCTCCGAAGAGGCATAATGACAGTTTAAATGTATGTTTTGTTAGTTTATCGTGTATATTGTGAAATTTGTCACGTGTTTGTATAGAGGCAACAGACATGTGTAGAAAACTATTTAACATGTTGAATCAAAGCACTCTGAATAATATGAGCTCTATATATGTGATGCTTTAATGTCATTTTTTCTTCGTTCCCATGTAAATCCTTTGAGTGTAAAATCTAAAACACCGACTGTTTAATATGCTTGCTTCAGGCAGCATTTGATTGGCCACAAAGTTTTCTAGTGAGATTACAATAACAATATTTTTTCCTCTCTTTTTAAACTTTATCTTAGGCTTGTATTAAACATATTATCCATGTGAGACTCTTACTTTGAAAATGAAAGGGCAGGGAGACTAAAAAGGGAGCCATGTGTTTCTGTCAGAGCACAAAATGCAGGATATACGGATTAAACATATATTCAGCACCACTCCCAAGAGGCATAAGTTTGTTTTAAATGTCTGTTTTGTTAGTTTAACGTGTATATTGTGAAATTTGTCACGTGTTTGTAATGAGGCAACAGACACATGCATAGAAAACTATTTAACACATTGATTCAATGCACTGTATAGGGCCTTTAACAAATTAATTTCAGCAGATCGTGAATAATCCCGAACACTCGAAATGCTAATGTCTGTTTTTTTAAAAAGGAGCTACCTGATATTCCTGCCCCTGTCATCATGTTGAAATTACATCACACATCAAGCAAAGCTGAATATTTTAAGGCACTTAAAATACCCTATTTGTAATTGTGGTGGGCAAAACTCAATAAAAACCAGTCTACAATCCTGAATTAATAAACACAAATATTTAATCAGTATATCTTAGCATGCTTTGAATAATGCTAATGATTTAGAAGAGATTCTCCAACAACTTGTGCTGATTTTGGTCTTTTAATCCATTTATCATAGGACTCTTTCTGTCTGTATGTGGTCCATAACGTCTGGCTCGTTTAACAAGTCTTAATGCTGTTGTCTTTTATGCAGTTGGCTTTTTAATTGAGTGAGTTTTATGGTGGTGACGGGCCTCTCTTAAATCATTATTACTGCAGGAGCAAAGTTTCCTATTAAGTGGACTGCACCGGAGGCAGCTCTGTACGGACGCTTCACCATCAAATCTGACGTGTGGTCGTTTGGGATTTTACTGACGGAGCTCACCACCAAAGGCAGGGTGCCTTATCCAGGTACAGCACCAGACTCTGTGATATAAATTATAAATGTGATATAAAAATAAGTACCCGTTTTACTCTTTGTTGTTCAGCTCAGTTCAATTTAACAAGATTTATTAACATATTCAAATGTTTTTTTTTTAAACCCCTGTGTGCTTTTGGGGATCTTTACATTCACTCTTGGGTGATTTTGAGTCTTATTTTGGCCACAACTTTCTCTGTGTTTTAGCAAATTGAATGATTTTTGGTAACAAATCTTACTTTGACACATATTTTGGGAAAATGCTTTGAGAATCTTCAAAAACTAAAATATAAACTGGAAAATTGACTACCCTTTTGTAATGCTTGTGGCTGTTTTTGCCGCATTGACTTCCAATGTATTGACAAATATTATTTTATTATAGTAAAAAATATTATCAGACATACTCTGAAAATTACCTTGCTCTGTTAAAAAAAAAATAATAATAAAAAAAATATATATTATAAATATTATATATATATATATATATATATATATATATATATATATATATATATATATAATTATTATAAATAGGCAAACAATCAAACAATATATCTTTAAAAACTAGTAATACAATATACTGTATACATATGTATAATTTCATTTATGCTGTAATTTTCTCTTTTTATGTGATACATACAATACATTGTAAATTTGTTACATTTAATTGAATTTAATTAATGAATGTGTGGAAAAAGGAATATGTGAATGAATTATGGCCCCACACCTCTTATTTTCTCAAATGTAAACCTAAATGTGTCTCTTTCACAAAGCGCATATGTCAACATCTTAGTTTGCTCCTTCTTGTCAACTCACATCCTCCACCTGCTTAAAACAGAGCTGCAATGTGCTTCTGTGTCTCCAACCAGTTGAAGTCAAAATGATTTGCCCTCCTGTGAATTTTCTTTTTTCCTTTAAATATTTCCCAAATTATGTTTAACAGCAATGTTTTTTAACAGTAATTCCTATAAACTATTCTGGAGAAAGTCTTATTTGTTTTATTTCGGCTAGAATAAAAGCAGTTCTTTTTAAGGCAGGGGTGTCCAACTCAATTCCTGGAGGGCCGAAGCCCTGCACAGTTTAGTTCCAACCCTGCTCCTTACCTGTAGGTTTCAAACAAGCCTGAAGGCCTCAATTAGTTTGATCAGGTGTGTTTAATTAGGGTTGGAACTAAACTGTGCAGAGCTGCGGCCCTTTTGGAACTGAGTTTGACACCTGTGTTTTAAGGGTTTCAACCTTTAATAGATAGAATAGTGCAGAGAATTGACAGGAAATAGTTGGGAGCAGAGAGAGGGGAAGGGTCGACAAAGGACCATAAGCCGGGAATCGTAATCAGGTCACCTTGAACACCATGGTGCTATATGTCGGCTCACTTAACCACTAGGCTATTGGCGCCGAAAGTTCTTATTTTTTTAAAAGCCATTTTAAGGTCAATATTATTAGCCCACTTAAGCAATATTTTGTTCAATAGTCTACAGAACAAACCATCATTATACAATAACTTGCCTAATTACCCTAACCTGCCTAATTAACCTAGTTAAGCCTTTAAATGTCACTTTAAGCTGAATACTAGTGTGTAAAATACCAATGTACATGTCACCTGGGCCCACAATATCCACCATGTCTGGTCTGCCCTTTATTAGGTATGGTGAACCGCGAGGTGCTTGACCAGGTGGAGCGTGGCTACAGGATGCCCTGCCCGGCCGAATGCCCTGACTCCCTGCACGAGCTCATGCTGACCTGCTGGCGCAAAGAGCCCGAAGAGCGGCCCACATTCGAGTACCTGCAGGGTTTCCTGGAGGACTACTTCACCTCCACCGAACCACAATACCAACCCGGAGAAAACCTCTAGGCCAAAGAGGAAATACACGTGCTTTAACCCAAACAACACCAATCAATATGGGGGGGAAAAAAAACGAGAGGGTATCCAGCAGTATTAGACTACATGCTCTGTCATTTTCATGCATGTCTATTTTGTTTCTGCATCTTTTCTCCATCAGATGCATTGATCTTCAGCTGCGTTTCTTGACCTCGTTGTACAAACTAAACCCTTTTAGCGGATGCTCCAGATCTGTCATTCATCCTCCTCCTCCTCTTCCCACAATCCTTCTTCTGTCCTCTCCCTTCCCCCTCCTTCAAAGCATCGGTTCATCATTCACGAACTCTACGACCCCGTTCAAGAGCTCTGATGGATGAGATGTGATGTTGGATAATGAACGGACAGGTCCCGTTTTATGTCTTCCAATAGATATCCAGGGTCTGCATCTGAACGCTATTATGCCTTTTACTGTCATTATGAGTGTTTATTTACCTTTTTATCAACCTGGATTAACTGGAACAAAAAGATGAGTGGTCACGAAGAAATTCGTTCATACTGAAAATTCTTCCTTTTGATTGTGAACAATGGGAAGACGTTCGTTTGACACGGTTATCCTACTCTTCTAGTAATCGAAACAACTACTGATATAAATATATATAAATAAGCATCGTTTGACTGTATAGTCCTACTTTGTGTGCCAATACAAAGGAGAAAAGAACAAAAAAAAAACAACAAATAAATTTTTGTACTGTTTTATTATGTATAAAATGTATTTTTATTAATGTCATTTTTTTGTACTGAAGACGACGAGCGGGATTTGTAATTAGGGGGTAGTTCAGTGAAAAATTAAACATCTGTCGTTTGCTAACCCTTATGTTATTCCAAACCCACGTGAAACACAAAAGGAGACGTTTAGCTGAATGTTCATGCTGCTCTATACCACACACAACAGTTTTACATGTAATGCATGGGGGAAATGTACGCTAGATGTCTATTTTTGTATTGTTCAGTGAAAATAATTGCATCAACGTTTGGAATGACATAAGGGCGAGTGAATCATGGCACACTTTAATTTTTTTATACTGCAAAAATGAGGTTTTGTTTTGTTAATCACTATTTTTTTTAAGTACAAACAACTAAACCTATTTAAACTGATATGCAACTACTCGAGAAGCAAATAAATATATGAAATGGTCTTGTTTTTATTTTAAGTTTCTCAAAATTAAAGGAACAATCCAGTTTTTGGAGGGCTCATTTTACTATAGAGTTAAAGCAGAGTTTTGCCATTTTTGAGCACGTTTAGCTTAGCTTAGCATTAATCATTGAATCGGATTAGACCATTAGCATCTCAAAAAAATCAAAAAAGAGTTGAGATGAATTATGCATTTAAAGCTTAACGAAATTGTTGTAAAAGGTAAGCTGGCGGGTCTTGTTTTTTTTAAGTTTCTTAAAATTAAAGAAATAATAGACTTTTTGGGGGGACATAGACTCATATTACTACTCCTTTAGAGTTAAACGGTTGAGTTTTACCATTTTTGAGCACATTTAGCTTAGCTTAGCATAAATCATTAAATCAGATTAGACCATTAGCATCTCAAAAATAAAATTTAAAAAAGATTAAATTGGGCATTCAAAGCTTGATAAAATTGGTTTTCTTTTTGAGCGAGTCTTATTTTTTTTTAAGATTCTCAAAATTAATGAACAATCCACTTTTTTGGTGGGGAAATAGGCTCATTTTACTACTCCTCTAGAGGTAAACAGTTGAGTTTTAGATTTTTTGAGCATGTTTTAGCTTAGCTTAGCGTAAATCATTGAATCAGATTAGACTATTAGCATCTAAAAAATAAAAAGAGATTAGATTAATTTTGTATTTAAAGCATAATGAAATTGTTGTAAAAGATGAGTTTGGCTTTAAATAGGTTTTCTTTTTGAGCAAGTCTTATTTTATTAAAAAAATTCTCAAAATTAATAGAACAATCCATTTTTTAGGGAAATAAGATTATTTTACAACTCCTCAAGAGGTAAACAGTTGAGTTTTACCATTTTTGAGCACATTTAGCTTAGCATAAATCATTGAGTCAGATTAGACCATTAGTGTCTCAAAAAAAAAAAACAATTGATCAATTTTGCATTTAAAGCTTAACGAAATTGTTGTAAAAGATGAGCTGAGATTTAAATTTTTTTTTTTTTTTTGAGCAATATGCTAATGGTCTAATCCTATTCAGTGATTTATGCTAAGCTAAGCTAAAAGTGCTCTTGCCAGACCCGGAGATTGGCTGAATTAATTTAAAAACTCTAGTTGACTTTCCCAAAACAGTTTGAGTGTTCCGTTAAATGATTTAATGCTTAAAACAAGAGACAACATCTGCCAAAAATTTTAAAATTTAATTTTTTTTTCTGGTTACACTGGCAGTATGTATAATTTAGCATAAACAACTAATTTGGATCAGGATTTTTTTTGAAGAAGAAGAAGAACAAGACTAAATCATGTAATTCTGCTTCTAAAGTAAACATATCTTGGTTTAAATAAATGTTTGAAGATTTGTACTGGAAAATGAGACAATAACACTGAGTATAAAATATTTTGTGTATAGATGAACTATTGCTTTTCTCACTCATGAATATTGTTCAAACGTTTTACCTGACTCCTCGAAGCGTCTTAAATGCTTAAAGTTAGTAGGTTTTATTTTGTTTAGTTTTTTTGAGACAAGTTCTGCCAAATGCAGTTAAAATTGCCAATATGTTTTATGCAAATTAGCCATCATTATATAATCAGATGAGAAGAGGGAGCTGAGTACTACTACTTTCACCAATCAGATCCACAGAAGGTCAATAATCTAGTCTGTGTATGCTTTAGAAACCCGTATTAGGTCAGCTACTCAACACTTAGTGATGTTTGAGATGCTGAATGAATAATATAATCACTGCTGAGACAATGTAGAATGATATAGATTGGAATTCTAGGGATGTTTGTACTGAAATAATGATGGTTGCATCGGAACTGAAAGTCCTGATGAGTGTTTTAGAAAGGCATGCAGCTGTAATCGCGGTACTTTAGCCGGTAGATGTGTGACACATGTCCATATACTGTAAATACTTGGTTACTGTAAATATTCTTTTTCATATTTATTCATGTTTCCTCAGTTGGTGATCAGCAGAGCTTTGCTTGTTTTTCATCGCAAACTAAATTTCGCAACGCAGATTGTTTTTATAAAAGAAAGGAAACTGAAATGTAATGCAATTGCTTTTTAAAGCTTCATGGAGAAGCAGCCAATCAGAACAAATGACAAATCTTTTAGTCCTCATGTATTTGTGTATGTTAAAAATACAAATCTGTGGAAGACAATGGGTTTCACACGATCGATTTGTGTTAGGACAACATAAAGGAATTAAGGCAGCTTACTAGTTTTTACAAATGTAGGTTGATTCAATTTTAAACTATTAATGATGTCAGGAATCAGATGTCATTTAACCCAAAATTCAACATTTTTAAACTAATAAATGTCTCCAAATTCTGATATATGATCACAGAATTGCTGTATTTTAACTCATAATTGCAAGATATAAACTTGTAATTGTGGAAAAGTTGCAATTGTGTGATGTAAACTTGCCATTCAAGCTTTTTTCCTTGACTGAGACTTTACATCTCACAATTAATTTCCACAATAGACTCAGAATTACGAGATATAAACCTGCATTCTTCATGTACATTTGAGTTTATGATCGATTTATAATAGAATCAATTTATCTTCTAGTTTGCACCGCACAATTTTGTGGTTTTATATCTTACAGTTTTGAAGGAAAAAGTCAGAATTACAAGATATAAAACCACAAAGTTGTGCGGTGCAAACTAGAAGAAACTTTTAAATTGTGAGATATAAACTCACACTGTAAAAAACGCTGGGTTCCACACAATGTCTTCATGTTGTCCCAACAAAATCGAATAACAAAGTTATCTTAATATTTTTTTTAAAAACTGAAGTGGATTCAACACAAAACAATTAAGTTGTCCCCCAAAAAACCTTAAGAACTCATTTTAAATGAGTAGTTTGAAGAAGCCACGGAAGTTATTTTTTGAGGTCAAAAATAAGAAAAAAAAATATCGTAAGACACAGATTTAAATAAAATGTGTTGAAAACTAAATACAAACTTGCAATTCTGAGAAGAAAACAATGTTAGACAAAAAGACACAATTACAAAATAAAAGTCACAACTGATAAAATCACGAACACTAAACTCAAAATTCATACATTTTCTAGCTAATTCTTTTAGTGAAATTTGCCAGATACACTCTAAATATATACATATTTCACAGTTTTTGAGTCCAAACTGGATGCAAAAAGTCAAAATAAACTTTGTTTTTATTCTTTGATTGAATATTAATAATAATAAATCTTAGTTTTGGTTACAGTAACATAATCACCTGAATGAATCTTTCTGCAGACTCTCATCACTCAATATTTAGCATTATTATTTTTAATTCTGCAAACTTGCAATAAATCTGCAGTTGATTTGAACTGAAAAAAAAGTTGACTCAACTTAAAATTGTGAGGCTACTTGCTGCACAGCTTTTCTTTGTGTTAGCTCTACTTTTAACCCAAGTATCGATCAAGAATAGCTTTTTGAGTCAACTCAACTTTAATAAAGCCTTGGGTTAAAAGTTGAGTCGACACACACACAAAAAAAAAACCTGTGCAGTTTTAAGTTAACATTTTTTTAAATGTACCACACTGCAAATAAACTGCACTGTATGCATTTCTCAGATCATAAATTGACTTACTGCAGGAGATTTGATGGTTGATGGATGACGGCAGGTTTATGGTCCTTGATGAAATGATGAATCGTGTGTTTAAGAACTGGAAAAAGAAAAGTCAGCAGAAATCAAATCAGATCTACAAGTAAACACATTATTAGTGCATCCCCATCTAATGCGTTCAAACTATGCAGTTGTTTTCTATGAGCTTTGTGGATATTTTAACTGCAGTTGCTCACAATTGATTTCCAATGTACAATACTGCAATGCCCCCTTTCAAACTATTTGAAATAACACTGAAATTCAATTTGTACTTTAAAAATGTATGACATGGTGTTATCTTTTTTTTTTTAAGTGCAATAAACTTTGTTTCTAAAAGCTCAAATCTGTGCACGAGAGATTTTATTAGAAATGTTCCTCATCAAAAATGGAACCGTTGTTGTTAATGCTTAGTCTGTTCATTTGTGTTTGTATAGTTTGGTTGCTGTTGCTGTGTTGTCCAGTTTTTATTAGATAAGCTTGTGCAGCTCAATTCAGTATCTATTGAGAACTTGAACGATCTTAATGAGAATTGGATTAATTGCTCTTGTTTTGCTAATGTCTAACAGTGTGTACTTTACGAGAACTCTAGTAATTTGAGCAGCTTAGTATCTTTATTTGTTAGTTAGTTTATGGAGGCGTTGCCACATTTGTAATAATTTTTTGGAGTAGTTATGCTGTTAGGCGACATGCTGAAGAATACGGTTTTGTTTCTGCATTTTTCTTTGGTTAGTTTTGTGGGTTGGGGTTTAGTTGGGTTATTTTTGTCAACACTCCTGTTTTACGTTTAATTCGATTATTTAAAATTCTAATTTCCTATATTCATTGTTTGACATTTTCTGTTTAATTAACAGTTAGTTTTTGTTTTAATGAACCAGCAGTTGTCTTCTCATTTTTCATCCAGCATCATTGGAGACTCACTGATTGTTACGTTTCATCCATTTAATATCTTAATAACTTAAACACGTAACATTCAATGTTGTTTAGTAATGCATCTCAAACATCACCAAGTATTGAGTAGCTGATCTAATCCAGGTTTAACTGCTGATGCAACAAGATAATACTATAAAATCTGGCCTTGAGGGGAATGTTCACCCCAAAATTTAACTTTGGTATCATTTATTCACCTTATACTTGTCACAAATTTGTTTGAGTTTCTTTGTTCTCTTGACCATTAAAAAAAGGTTTTCTGAAGAAAACAGTAACTTTTGGCTTCAAAAGTGTTTGTTTTTCTTACTATCGATGTCAAAGGTTATCCGTGTTTAACATTCTTCAAAATATATATATATTTTTGTGTGTGTTCAAAAGAAAAAGAAAAACACTTGAGGGTAATTTGTAAGTACATTTGTATTCATTTTCATTTATTCATTTTTTTAGTCCCTTTATTCATCAGGGGTCACCACAGCGGAATGAACCGCCAACTTATCAGCATACATTTTACACAGCGAATGCCCTTCCGGCTGCAACTCAGTACTGGAAAACACCTATACACTCTCACACTCACCCTCATATGGCTAATTTAGTTTATTCAATTCATCTGTACCGCATGTCTTTGGACTGTGGTGGAAACTGGAGCACCCGGAGGAAACCCACGCCAACACTGGGAGAACATGCAAACTCCACACAGAAACGCCAACCGGCCCAGCCAGGACTCGCACCAGTAACCTTCTTGTTGTGAGGCGACAGTGCTAACCACTGAGTCACCGTGTTGCCCAGTACAATTTTATTTGTGAGATAAATTAAGTATTGCACATTTCTGTGAAATGTTCATTCATTCATTTTCTTGTCGGCTTAGTCCCTTTATTAATCTGGGGTCTCCACAGTGGAATAAACCGCCAACTTATCCAGCATATGTTTTACACAGCGGATGCCCTTCCAGCTGCAACCCATCTTTGGGAAACATCCATACACACACATTCACTACGGACTATTTAGCCTACCCAATTGACCTATAGTGCATTACTTTGGACTGTGGGGAAAACCGGAGCACCCGAAGGAAACCCACGCGAACGCAGGGAGAACATGCAAACTCCACCTGACCCAGCCGAGGCTCGAACCAGCAACCTTTTTGCTGAGGCGACAGCACCATCTACTGTCACCGCCTTATTCTGTGAAATATTAAAAGTAACATTAATATCTTCCCTAAAGATTTACATTTTAAGTATGAATTGTGTGTGTGTGTGTGTGTGTGTGTGTGTGTGTGTGTGTGTGTGTGTGTGTGTGTGTGTGTGTGTGTGTGTGTGTGTGTGTGTGTGTGTTATGCTTGATTTTGTGTTTTGAATTTGGCATTTTTACCCTTTTCTCGAGCTTGTGCTGTTATTATTATTACTAAGCAATAAATGGTGATAATATTTGATAACTGAAATAAAAAATTTCTGTAAACACCACACAGACATATAATCGCTGGTGATAACTTCTAATACATTTTTATGATGATAAATTAGGAAGTATTGCACATTTCTTTGACATATTTAAAGTAAAATTAATATCTTCCCTAAAAATGAACATTTTAAGTGTGTGTGTGTGTGTGTGTGTGTGTGTGTGTGTGTGTGTGTGTGTGTGTGTGTGTGTGTGTGTGTGTGAGTGAGATTATTGTTACTAAGCAATAAATGGCAATTATATTTAAGAACTCAAATTAAACTTACTGCATTTGTGTAAACACCACAGACTTAAAACTGCTGGTGATTATTTCTACAATACATTTTTATAATGATAAATTGTGAAGTATTGCATTTTTCTGTGCAATAGTCGGTGCTTTTAAAATAAATTGTAAAAAATAAAACCAACGCATTTTTTTTTTTAAATAACATTTTAGGTTTGAAAATTGTGAATTTAAATTTGGCTTGTGCATGTTTTTGTCTTGAATTATTTTCCTGTTTGTAAAGTGCTATAAAAATAGTGTTATTAATATTAACACAGAATGACAAATATCAAGACATAATTAATGGAACAAATGTATTTTATTTTTTTCCATTAGAAGGTCAACAAATCAATCCCAAGTGATCAGGGGCCTGTTTCAGTAAGGAGGTTCAAACAACTCGGAGTTTAAACTTGAACTCTGAGTTGATTTACCGAGAGATTAAAAACTCAGAGTTTTCGGTTTCAGAACAGCTGATCTGAGTTGGGTCAATCAACTTTGAGTAGACCAACTCAGAGTTAAGCGCGCGCACCGTGACTATAAAAAGGCATTATCAATGGAGCGCAGACATTACGAGTGACTATGACAACATCTTAAAAAAAGAGATCAGCATTTCTTTTTCCAGCTGAACTTGATGTGCTCATGCAAAGTTATAGCAAATATGAGTGTATATATTTAAAATGAAGCAACCATCAGTGAAACAGAGACAGCGTGGGAAAACAGCTGCCCAAGTTAATGCGTAATTTTTAATTTTAAGTATTTAAACATTTTAAGTATAATAAAATAAGTAATGTAACGTGTGACGTCTATACTTTTTTTCTAAACTTTTTACACTTTTATCAGTTTTAATAGATTTAACAGTGCACTTGTTATGTGTCTGCCTTTTTATTGATCAAGTGATAGAGGTTGATATAACATTAAGAAGGTAAGCAGTAGTAAAATAATTTAGACAGAATAATAATCCCATTAATCTAGTAACAGTGCATGTCGAAGGTTAAGCTAATTATTTATAAAAAAAGGACAAGCCTCGTACGTGACTTTGTTCTGTGTGTGACAAAAATGTAGGCAATAGCTGTGTTTCCATCAAAATATAGGCTATTACATAAATTTGTGCAAAACTGGAATAACGCCTAAAAATAAAGCAGCGTTTTTATCCAAAGAGTCGAAGAGAACACAATCGTCACTTCCTGATTAACTTGCGCCAAATATCAACAGTAAAAACAGAATTACTGCGGTAGAAGAAGCAGCATCAATGATTTTTTTTTATTTAATTAATGTACCTGAGCCTCAGAGGACAATTGACACACAATGAACAACACGTGGGGGCGTTTGAAGCCAGACGCGGAGATCTTGACACGCTCCAGACGCTCGGAGGTAATTAATAATATACACTAATACTGAAACAGTAAAGGCATTTTAGAATGACAACATTTAAGATGTTCTGCAGTGTGCTCAGTCTGCTGGTTTGTCCTTTCACACACATTTTCATCATCATCTCTAACAAACCATTTTTAATGTACATACTGTAATTTGTTAAGTGCACTTCGTAGTTTATGTGCATCTTATCAAATAAAAGTTTAACCTACTCAATTATGCACATGTTATATTATGCGTATTTTCAAAAGTTATGTGAATCATGACGTTTCCATCAATCTTTTTTATGCACATCTCCAAAATGAGCTCTAAAATAGCTGTGTGGAAATGTAAGACTAATGCGAGAAATACCGCTTCATCTTTAAAAAGGGGAGGAGACCAACAGAAACTCAGAGTTTAGAGAATAAAACCTGCTCCGGACCAGGTTAGATTCACAGAGTAAGTTACCACGGTAACTGACTCTGAGTTAAAGTTAACTCTCTTTTAGAAACAGGCTTGACTTACCCTGCTTTCTCGAGTTTAACAAACCTGCCATTTTGAAACGGAAAACCCAGAGTTTCTCTCATTTCAGGGTTAAACTACTCTGAGTTTTAACTTAACCTGCTTTCTGAAACAGGCCCCTGATGTTGCTCATTATGATCCCATTGGGATTGTTATGGATTTGTAAACAAAGGGGAGTCTGTGTGTATTTGCTCAATACATGTTTAGACATCATCAAGCAGCAATACTATAATAATAATAATACAATGCAGGCCCGTTGCCAGGGGGGATTCGGGTGGTTCGAAAGACCCACCCCACAATGACAAAGGTCCCGAATTTGTCCCATACATGAGCTCATTTGTCTTATTTTGACTGCTATGCCATCATAAATAGTGAAATCCATTGAAAAAGGCTTTAAGACCAAGCAATTAAGTTTAAAAAAACTAATGTGGCTATTTGTGTTATTCATTAATTTTTTTTACAAGAGAGGCTAGAAAAATTGCGAAGCTCTTTTATTATTATTTTGTTTTAATTGTTTATTATTCAAATGGCCAAATTCTGACCGAGTACAGTTGCATGTTCTGGCCAGTTTGTAGGCCATATAAGGCTACCATAGGCTACAGTTTTTAATTTAAAACTTTAACAGATTCTTATTTTTTTCTGATTTATGATGTAATAAATTTGTATTTAAAAAAAAAAAGCCTTTTTCTTTATTCTAAATCTTTAGGAAATATTTTGGTACTTTAAATGTGTCATTATGATGACGATCTAACAAGCTAATCCAGCCAAAAATGGTGCTGAAAGGTTACTAAAATACAGTATTTAAATCTCATACATTGTAAATGAGGTGAATAACTGCAAAAATTTGCATATTTTGAGAAAAAGAACCACCTCTTATACCAGGCTGGCTACGGGCCTGCAATAACATGATTCAAAAGAAAACCCTTTACAGTCAACTGAAAACCGGTTTATAGTTCTCTAGCGACATCTGCTGGTATTTTATCGTAAAATGCACTATTAAACTGAAATAGTATTATTATTATCTAAGTACTGCTTATTTGGTAGAGCTACCGTGTCTAACTGGATAAGGAAAGTAAAACTAAGTTTTAGCCAGCGTCTATTAATATTTTTCGATTTGTTTAGACTGAGGGTAACGTTACGCCTCATTTTTAAACATCGTAATTATTAGACACTTTAAAGTAAAACTTGTTAATAAAGTTGTGAAAAAAGCTTTAAGCAAATCAGTCTATAAATAGGCTGTTCAAAAGTGAAAGTTTGTGCGCAGGTGCTAGAAAACGATGGTTGTCGAAATTAACTTTACCTCAAAAAAAAGGACACTTCCTGTTTCTGTGGCTCCAAATGTGTGTGACTGATAATAACCTTGAAAGTGTTTTGGGTCTTAAAGAAGAAAAGACATTTCTGCCTTGCTCTGACTTGCTAATTAAGTTAACGTAGTGAATCCATCAAGTACAAGTGTGCCGCAAGCCTACGTTTGAGTGAAGGTTTCGGCCGTTAGATCACCCCCTGGGGGCTGGCTGCAGTACAAGTCATAAAGCCCGCCTCCTCCGTGTTAATGAAGGAGACTTGAGCCCAAATAAAAAAAAATATTACACTTGCAATAAAATGTCCCGAAAGATGGTTCTGGTCTATTAAGGCACTGGTTATTGTGCTGAAATAGGTGCAGATCTTCATTTTTGTAAACAGTTTGTTTTTAGCAGTAATTTAATGCTGGGCGTGTCATCGTGATTGACAGCTGTGATTGACAGTTTCTCAAAGCGCGGCGTCTGAGCTTCGGCAGGAGACTGAAGTAGACTGAAATGTTATTATTCGATTTCTGTGTTATTTTACCATGACAAAATGAGTTCAGCAGTAAACTATAGTTTCTGACATACATGATCCTGGTGGAACACTGTTTATTCGCTAAGTTCAGGGCTTTTTTCGGGCTTTATTAGTTTGCTGATACACGCCTAGCCACCCAGATGGCAAAACACAGTTCCGGCTAGATTCTCGCCTGCCGGAGACTTATCTCTTAGAGCTCAGACTGACTAATGTTACCTCTGCTGGACCTACTCCGGATGCCTGGACTCACTGCCCGATTCCAGTCCGAGTCAATCGAGCCAGATGCGGCGGCCGAGCGAGCAGGCACTGCCGCATGCGAGCCGGAATCAGCCCGCGACGCCGCGAGTAAGTTGTGCGCTGCGGCCTGGAGCTGGCGCGATTGAATATATAAAACCCTCATATTTGTTAACGTTATTACATCCATTTGTGTTGATATGACAGCAAACGCATGCTGAGAAGTTCGGGGGGCGTAGTTGATTTTACATAAAGCGTTTGATTGGAAGCTCGACTCTGCTCATTTTCGCGGCTCCTCCTCTGGCTCCATCAGACAGTCCTTCTGCGCATGTCTGGCTCCAATTTCAGCAGTCTTTTGCGACAGTTTGTGCCCGTCAAGCAGGCGTTTTGCCCTCAAGGCGTTCAATGGGAAAAAGGGCTGTCGCGTCGTCCATATTTTTTACAGTCATTGATCAAGTATATTTACCGGAAAAGTTACTCGTGAATATTAATTACGTCGTGTTTACGTTATTTAAATTAGGTCCAGACGAAGCGCCCACTCACTTACCTGATTTTTTTTTTTATTAATACAAGTATTTAAAAATTACTTTTTAAATATTTGTATTAATTTTTTAAAAATCACTTTTTAGATAGTTGTTATCAGTATTAATTTAACATAAACATCTTCCTTAACAAAAAATTGTACTGACAACCTTAATACACTAATGTAAACTACGCAACCATCACACGTTTTGTTTTTTTTTTTATCAAAAACTTTTAGATGAGTCATATTTCATGGAAAAACAACTAACTAGCATGCAAAGATTCAAACATTATTTACACCAGTGATTACCTCAAAGGAAGCCTGTCAGCCAATCAAATAGTCGAACGTAAGACGTACGATTAATATTCATGAACGTGCCCTTACTCAGTTAGGGTTTTGAGATATCCGGGCGAACTCACTGTCGCAGGTGAGTGAAACTTCAATAGACGTAAACAAGGATATACAACTGCTTTAAAAGGACACAAAGCTACTTTAACAGGTAACTTGATTTCCTTTAAATCGCAAAGATGTCTTATGAGTCCACCAATCACTAAATTAACCTGACAGTCTGTTGCACTGCTTGATTGAAGCGCTAATGTGAACAGAAGTGATGTGCTTAAAAAGTTTATACACCGTTGACATATTTTCTGCACAATTTAATCGACCGTCGACCTTAATTTTTACACAGAACATTTCACAATTGAGGTACAGTTTGTTTTTATGTTAACAAATTCAGATTTTCTTCTTAATAATATAATTTTACAAACGTTTTTTTTTTACGTAACTTAAGTTAATCTGAATAGTGAAATCGTATTTGCAGCCAGTGACTATCACACATTGTTCACAGTCAAATAAATAGTTAATGTTGTTTTAAAATCATAAAACATGTGATTTCAGGCCGAATATTCAAGGTACTATGGTAAACAAACAAACAATGTAGGGAGCTGAACGTTGTCTGAACGAATGTGCGAATATAAAACCTTTACCTTAGTCATTTCACAGTACTTTTGTATGTACATTATAACTGTATTTCTGCTGTGTATGTGTAGCCTATTTTTCTGTCACGTTTCTTAACTTTGAGTTGAACTAGTGTGACATGGTGTTTTTGCACTGGTGTTGTGCTAAACATATTGTAAACACTTTAAATGTTGTAATTATTGTGTACAATGACATTTAAGTGAATTTTTTTTTCATGTTGTAAAGAAATGTACAGAAATACAGTAGTTTAATTAACATAGGAGTCGCATTAAAGCAGAGATGCCCAAAGTAGGGCCCCGTGGGCGAAAGTTGGCCCATGGTAACTTTGATTTGGCCTATCTGAAAAAGAGACAAAGAGTGATGGGAAGTGTGGTTGGGGCAAATTTTCGGGGCTGGCTTTGACAGAGATTGTCTTTTCAAATTTAACGTAATCTTTTGTTTCTTTGTATAAATGCTGAGCTACCAAAAAGCCAACTGAAATTAAATTATTAAATTAAATGTTGTAAACAAATCAGACTTTTAAAATGAAAATACTGTCTTGATAGATAAAGCACAATGAGCAAGATATCGGTAAAGTAAATTAAGGTAAAGGGAGAAGCAGGTTGACTAGTCTATTCAGCAGTGTGTAATAAATGAGATTGTTTATGTTTTTATTGTAACAAGTTCATTATAAAAAGTTAAAAGTGATACTGCATTAGTTAATATGATTCAAAGCAACGTTATCTTTAAATATTTTCGAATAAATTAGGAAATTACCCATGGTAAATTTAATATTTAAGGTTTGCTATATATTCGGCCCACAGCACTCAATCAACTTTGGTTTTTGGCTCTTTATAGGAAAATATTTGGGCACTCATGCATTAAAGGAATAGTTCAGTCAAGAATGAAAGTTATGTCATCATTTACTTACCCTTCAATTGTTTCAGCGTGTTTGGAATCTCATGTCTGTGGTTGTAAACAAAGTATGGCAATCTAAAGAATGTTGGAAACTGTTTGCCATTGACTTCAATGGTGTGTATTTTCTTCCTACCATAACTATCAATGGTCGCAGATTTCTACAATTCTTTAAAATATCTTCCTTTGGGTTCAACGGGAAAAAGAAACCACTTGAGGGATAGTAAATTATAATTTTGAGGATGACCTATCCCTTTAAAGGAATGTTTCGAATAGCTTTTGTGAAAATAAAATGCTGGCGGCACTGGCTCAGTGGTTGGCACTGTCGCTTTACAGCAAGAAGCCTGCTGGTTCAAGCCTCGGCTGGGTCCGTTGGTATTTCTGTTCGGAGTTTGCACATTCTTCTCGTGTTTGTGTGGGTTTTCTCCGGGTGCTCCGGTTTCCCCCACAGTCCAAACACATGCGTTATAGAGGAATTAAATAAACTAAATAGTACATGGTGTATGAGTGTGTGTGTCTGAATGTGGGTGTTTCCCAGAACTGGTTTGCGGCTGGAGGGGCATCCGCTGCATTAATCATATGGTGGAATAGTTGGCGGTTCATTCAGCTGTGGCAACCTCTGAAACCAAGCTAAAGGAAAATGAATGAATGAAAATAAAATGCTAAAACTTGTGGAATAATGTTTCATGAATGTTCAATGTAACCTGTATATTTATGTAACAATTAAACAACCTACTTTTTTGATGCACACTAAATTGTATTATATTTGCAATTACTGAAAAATAATTTACAAATGGTTTTAAAGTATAAGAATAAAGTGACAATATATACAAATTGCCAATATTATGAATCTGTACATGAAATTCACTGCCTTTGCTTCAATACTGCAGTTATAATAAGCAAGAGGCCTTGAGGCTTTTGCAAGATAATAAGCAAGAGGCTTTGTTTTACAACTTTTAGGGCCATTTAACAAGTTGTACTGTATTGTCCCTAGAGTGTGAATGTGAAGTCTGAGCTCAAAAAATACCATGCAAATAATCTTTACCAACTCCTTTAAATGGCCACTTCTAGTCTATGATCCATATTGTGCTGCTTTGGTGACCGTTGCTTTAAATTTGAATGAAATTGCACTCTTTAAAAGAGGGCAGAGCTATAAACATGTACAGTTGAAGTCAGAAATATTGGCCCTCCTTTTAATTATTATTATTATTTTCCCCAAATTATGTTTAACAGATTCAGGACATGATCACGGTATGTCTGATAATTTTTTTTTCTTCTGGAGAAAGTCTTATTTGTTTTATTTTAGCAAGAATAAAAGTAGTTTTTAAGTTTTTATGAAGCCTTTTAAGGTCTTACGTATTAGCCCCTTTAAGCGAATTTTTTTTCCGACTGTCTACAGAACAAACCATCGTTATACAATAACCTGCCTAATTACCCTAACCTGCCTAGTAGACCTGGGCGGTATATTGGGTTCTGGGGATATATCGATATGATTTCCCAACGCGATGTGGTATTATCCAATATCATTTATATCGATATGATCTGAGCCCAGACATGCACATTCTGCGCAAAACAGACCACTCCAAGTTAGTACGCTAGCTCCACTTTCACAAATGTGCGCATACGAAAATGAAGGATTCACTCACAATGAGTCATACAAAAGATTTGTTCAAAATGAATGAATCATTCAAGAACAACGATAACTGACACGACACAGAGGAACATGCAGTTGCCGATGCGGTGAGAAATCTATCTGACTCCCCGAACTGGACAAATCTGACTCCTCCTCGCATGCACGCACGTCACTTAGCACCTACTGCTGTCACAGTAGTTTATCAAAAACCTTTTTATCGATACTTTCGTTCACAATTGACAGTAAGAACAAACGTAAATGTTGTCAAATTAATTAATTAATTAATTAATTATATTGTATATTGTCATTCCTTCTAAAAATACCGGGATATGATATTTTGCCCATATCACCCAGCCCTACTGCCTAGTTAACCTAATTAAGCCATTAAATGTTACTTTACGCTGTATAAAAGTGTCTTGAAAAATATCTAGTCAAATATTCTTTACTGTCATCATGGAAAAGATCAAATAAATCAGTTATTAGAAATGAGTTATTAAAACTATTATGATTAGAAATGTTGAAAAAAAAATGGTGTGTTGCTTCTCTCTCAGGGGTGGATAAACTAATGAATTACAAACATAGACTGTAAAATATATGGACGTAGTATCCGTGACGTCATCCATAGGTTTCTAAAGAGCGCAAAAGAAGCCACAAGTAGGCGCGGCCAACCGTCGCCATTTTGTTCACGCGTCATCACACCCACGGCGGGATACCAAACAAGGGCAAAGAGGCGGAGAGTGAGCGGAGCTACAGACACCTGCTGACAGTTTACTTGGACCTGGTTCAGACACACTTTACTTTGGGAGAAACGCTTAATACTTTACCACCTGAGACTCGTTTGTGTTCTGACCACTTGTGCTTGGTTGTACACTATATCAATAAAGTGTTTAGACTTTTAAAAACACTGCTGTAATACATTGAGCCACTAAACATTGTTCTTATGAGGTTTTTCAACTGGAGGAAAACATGAATTACTTCCAAACACTTCAGATATAATCTGTGTTAGTTAATGTAAGACTATTGATGAAATCCAGCATAACACTGTATGACAACGCTTCAGATGACTGTTCTAGAGCCTACAGCTAATCAATCCGTCAGATTCTGGAGTGCATTACAGCTCTAAATATAAATATAAACGACAAATGATCTTAAATAAAACAAATACATGTATAGAGATGGTATATAAGTATATAACTTTACTCACATGGGAAACGGAGGCCACGTGAATGGTTTGTGAGCACAATTAAGTGCACTCAGCATGCCATGCCATCTAATAATTGTAGGAAACAAGTCCAAAAGGCAGTTGACTGTGTAAAGCTGCATAAAACAATACAGAAATACGATAAATATGCCGAGTTCAGTGGCTAATCTGCAGAGGTGACGTGACGGTGACCAACGAGACCTAGCTGTCACTCAAGTGGCCACTCCCTTAATTATGCAAACTTAATATAACTTAATATAAAGGAAACAGATGAGTTATAAAAAAATTCACCCCCCCTCACAGTTGTCATGAAGGGTAATATTAGCTGTATTAACTAAAATCTTTTTTTGTACCAGGCTGTAAACACCTTTTTTCTGCTGTAAAGTTGGCCATTCTAACAGTGGGCTCAATTGAAATTTGCTCTATTTTGGAGCCAAGAGCGGCCAGGACTAGCGGAATTTCGCATGAATTGCAGTTTTAGTTACTTCCGTATTGGCTTCCCGAGGGAGAGCGGGAGGTTGCCGCTTGGTTAGAAATCATCACTAATGAGCGGGGCTTTACCCCTCTGACACGTACAAAGGGAGAATGTCAATTTAAGTGTTTGTTTAGACTGTTTTTATGAAGTGTGATTCTTAAAAAAATTAAGTTTTACTATTAGGGGCTGGCTGTATACGCACACTGTTGCCACACAACTGTATTTAAACTTAAAAAAAATGTAAAAGGGATGCAAAATAGATGCCCTTAAACTGTTGTTTTGTTTAGTGCGTTTTTGTGATGCGTGCTTTTTGTGCCT